GTGCTAAAATTCTCCATCTAAAAACCCAACAGTTATTTTACATTAGTGTTTATTTTTATTTTTTTAAATACATATGGTTCAAAAATCAAAATCTCAAATATCACAGCAAATATTTGACTTCACCCTTTAACGCCCCCATCTCATTCCCCAACCACTTTCCACTCTTTTGCCCTTGCTTCTCTTCCCTACATGCTTCTAGATGGCACAGGTTACGCTACAGTTTTATGTGTGCTTGTAGATGTGCACATCTTGTTTTGGAGGTGAGAGCTGGCTCTCTCACGTCGCCTGACACTTTCCCTGACCCAGTGGGACCATAGATCTATCCCACTTGGGTTGACTGTGTGAATGTTGTTCATGCCATCACCTATGTCCTTCTTATCAACGAGGACAGTCCTTTGGAGGGAAATAGCACTTTCACCTGTGAATCAGCTGGGGTGCGAATCAAGAGTACTACCAGGGGTGGTATGGCATGAGGCTAGGGGTGTGGACACTCTCCTGTCTGGGCCATCTGGGACTGGGCAGGCCTGCTTCTCCATACCCAGTCATGTTGCTGGATTGGGAGATAGCTCCTCTGCATAGAGCCTCTTGCCAGCTCTGTACCCACTGCCTAGTATGACGCCTGCAATATGGAGCATGCTTCATCACGGGAGGCCTTTCATCCTGTTCATTACCAGTAACATCAGGGACTGAATGTGCATCATCTTTATTCAACAATTAGTGCACCACACTGCTAGAACTCTTGCTTCTTGATCTGGGAAGATAAAATGGGTCCCTCTTCTGCACATTAAGTAGCCAGGTCCTGATTTTCCTTTCCTTCTCTCCCTAATGGTCTTTAATGCTTCAATGCTCTCTTAGCACCAGGCATTTTCTCAAGGTCTGAAGCCCAGTGTTCTCGGGCTGCCCGCAGGGCGGCTGCTGTTCCCATCAGACCCGGCTTGCCATTGGCCTTGTCGTGGCCCTTCTGAGGCTTGTGCTCCTCACCTGCATGGCACGCTCACCGTGTTTGGGGGTTAAAATACTGAAGAAAATCTATGGGACTGAAGTCATTATCAAGCCGACCAAGATAGGTGTGCTGTGACCCCCAGGAAGAACAGAGATAGATAAGGGGCATAGCGCTTATTTAAGAAAATTATGACAGAAAACTAACAAAATCTAGAGATGGAAATGTACATTCAGATCCATAAGTACTATAGAACCCCAAATAGACAGAATATCAAGTAACTTCCACCAAGACACATGATCAAATTCTTCAAAGTCAGAGGCAGAGACATTTTTGAAAGCAGCAAAAGAAAAGCAATTTGTTACACACAGGAAAGATTACATACATAAGATTATCGAACATATTTCCTAGAAAAAGCCTCACAAGCCAGGCCGGGGTAGGACGATATATAATTAAAATTCTGAAGGAGAAAGACCCTGCTGGTCAAGACCATTATCCTCAGCAAGAATGTTCTAGAGAAATGAAGATTTTCCAAGACAAAAGCTGTGGCAGTTCATCACCATGGGACCTATATTTTAGCTCTTTTTTTGTTGTTGTTTGTTCTTCAATATAAAACATTTAATGTTTAAAAAAAAAAAACTGTCAGGGCTGAGGTTGCAGCTCAGTGGTAGAGCACTCACCCAGCACAGATGAGGCCCTGGGTTTGATCCTCAGTACCACATAAAAACAAGTGCGTAAAAATAAAAGTTGGGGGCTGGGTATCTAGCTCAGTTGGTAGAGTGTTTGCCTAGCATGCACAAGGCCCTGCGTTTAATTCCCAGCACCACCAAAAATAAATAAATAAAGGTTGAATTCTTTAAAAAAGAACTCATAAGAGACAAAGAAGGTCATTATAAAATGATAAAGGGATTATTGAATCAAGAGGATATAATTGTAAATATCAAAACACCCAAATTATAAAGCAAATATTAACAGAATCCAAGAGAGAGATAAATAGCAACAAAATAATGGCAAGAGTCTTTCAACACCGGATAGACATCCAGACAGAAGCCAAGGACACAGCACTAGGCCAAGTGAACCTAGCAGACATACAGAACATTCCATCACCAGCGGCAGAATACATATTCTTTTCCAGTATACAGAGAACATTTTCTACAATAGATCATGTTAGGTTACAAAACAAGTCTTAGCAAATTTAAGATGGAAATCTTACCAAAATATCTTTTCCAACCACGATGGAAATCAATAGTAGAGTAAAAATTGGAAAATAAATACTACACCCTCCATCAACCAATGGGTCAGAGAAGAAATCAAAGGGAAGTTTAAAAAAAGAACAAAACTCTCGAAACAAGTGAACATGAAAACAGCACACCGCAACTTCTGGGATACAGCAAAAAGAGTACTCAGAGGGCAATTCATAAAGGAAATCTGGATGGATTACTATCCAGCCTTATGGGGGGGAAAGGGAAATCTTGTCATTGTCGACAAGGTAGATGAATGTGAAGGACAATAAGTCACCACAGAAAAAGCATAAAGACTACTAATCTCACTTCTACAGGAAATCTAAAAACATCAAACTCCTGGGAGCAGAGAGCAGAGTGAGGTTCACCAGGGTCAGGACATGGGGACAATGGAGAGGGAGCAGTCAAGCAGCACAGATTTAATTCAGGGACTGGGTGGTACCCGACTGCACACTTGAAATGTGCGACCTTCAGCGTTCTCACCGCAAAAAAAAAAAAAAAAAAAGAAAAGAAAAAGAAAAGAACTGTGAAGCCATGGGTATATCCCATCAGCTGGTTTATGGGGTTGTTTCTTAGCTTATGGTGATTGTTTCTTAACAGCAACCTCATGTACACCGTAAATGTATACAACTTTTATTTGTTAGTTTTACATCAGAAAAACTTTTAAAAAGCAAAAACTGACTCAATGATGAGGCCCTCCCAGTGGTCTTGAGCTTGTATATACCTTTCAAGCATGAAACCTGACATGGTCATGGGGACACTCACACGTCTTCATCACCAAATATAAAATGTGTTATTTGGAAGTTTTGCACACGCCATCTCCTTTAAATATATTTTATATGCTGCTTACAATCACATAAAAGATTAATATAAAATTTGATGTTTATTAACATTTAATCTTTATTGGATCATAAGGTTAATATTTTCAGCCAATATTCTGCATGGGCCTTCAGTTCCCCTCTGGTTCCAGTGTGCCAGGCAACTAGGGTCATTTTTTTCTGAAGGAAGATGTGACAACCTCAGGACAACCTGTCCTGGGTCACATGGCATTCATGTGGTTAGCGATCATGGATGAGTGCCTCTGACCCAGGAGGGACGCCAGGCATCTCCCCAGGCCCTTCTAGGGGCAGGAGATAGATTTATGAGAAACTAATACCAATCCATGAGGTTTGCTCAGTGTTTCGACTGGGTGGAGGAGAAGCTGGCATCGGGAGGGCCAGAGCAGAAACATGAAAGTGTGAAAAGCCCAGGCTTTGGGATCTGAAGAGCTTTGAGCAAGAGTCAGCTGCAGAAGTGGTTTCAGGCCGTCCTGGGTGTGGAATAGCTGGAGGGTTGTTAATTAGATAGACAAGATCACATTTGGCTTTCAGGGGTCTTGCTTTTCGGTGCCTCCCAGTCCTGTGGCCAGCCTCAGGGCTAGCACGGGAGAAGCCCTGATCAGAGCCAGTGACCTGTGCCAGGAGTGGGGAGATGACTTGAAAGAGACATGAGAGTCAGGTTGGGCTGGTTTGGTGCCCACTAGGAATGGAGTAAGGAAGGAGAACTGGGAGAGAGAGAAAGAGACCTAGCCAAAGGGAGAGAGAAAACTGGAGCCCTGGGCTGCCTTCCTTGTGGGATATTGGCCAAGAGGCCTTCTGAAGCTGGCTCAAGAGCAGCTATAAGCTGGGCACATTTTCTTCCTGAGTGCAGAAGTCTTCTTAAAAGCCTAAATACGCTACCCAACTCTGCAAACAGCAAGGGATAGCACAGCATTCCTCWGACAGAGCAAGTCCTGAGGGTATACTGTGCAGCCTCCTCCAGACAGGTCTCAGGAAACAGCCTCAGGGTGCCTGGGCAGGGCTGGTGAGTCTGGATTTTACAGCCAGGCCTGAGATCAGGTGGCCGGCATCTTCCTGGAAAGTTTGCTTCCCGCCCCAGTTTGCTTTCCCAGGGAGTCTCTGGGCTGGGCTTGGATGCCATCCGTGTTGTACAGGGTTTCCCTAGGACATAATCAGACCCCCTACTCAGCTGTCCAGGGCCCCGTTTTGGCCAGAGGCAAGCGCAGTTTGGAGAACAGTCGTTCCGGGATGAAATGGAAGCTTCTACCAGGGCACCCCACCCATTGCTCTACACGTGGGCTTCTCCGCTGGCTGCTAAGTGTCACACTTCCAGGTGTGATCCATGTTAGTTCCACGTAGCCATTTCCGTGTGCCCGCTTTTACTCTGTGGGATGCTAATCTTCATGATCCGATGTGACTTATTGTGTCGCGATAAGACAATAGGAACAAAAGCCAGAAGGCCAAGAAAGACCCTCTTTAGTGCCGGGGCTCTGTGGGAGTCCGGTCCTTCCTCGCCGCCGTTGCCTAGAAGCCTAAAAGCGGCCCTAAGGACAAAGGGCCAGCGGTGCTGAGGCCCGCGGAAGCTCGGGTCGGCGGGGGGCGGGGGTAGCCAACCCGTAAGTGCCGGTGCGCCCGGCGGCCGGGAGGGCGCGCGGCAGGTGTGGGGACGCGGGACGGCCGCCGGGCAGCGCCACTCCGCGCGGGGGCGCCCCCGCCTGCGTCCCCAGGGCGGTCTGGGACCCTGCGCTCGGGGCCGGGGTCCCAGAGGGCGGGAGAGGGAGGAGCCGCGGCCCGGGCCGGCGCCCCGCGGCCGGGGAAAGCGAAAGGGCGCGGGGCCTCTGCGCGCCGCAGGAAGTCGCGAGCAGGAAGCGCCCGCGGCGGGCGGTGCGGGGCCCGGGCCTCCCCGGCGCAGGTGGGAAGCGGCCGCGCGGGAGGCGCTGCGGCCCGACCCTCCCCGGCCGCACCTGCCGGCCGCCGCGCACCTGCGCCCGGGGCCGCGCTTCCGGCCGCGCGCTGCGGGCTCGGCTCTCGCCGCCTTCTTCCTGGAGGTTTGCTTTATTTGGAGGGCGGGCGGCCTCAAGCTCTTTTCGTTGCGGAAAGTCTTTGAAGTCAGGGATCTAGAAGAGTGTCCCTAGGCGACCAGGCCAGGCGTCTGCTGCTTGGTGACGCTGCTATTCCGGGAAAGTGGAGGCAGAGGGCGCGGTCTTGGCCCGGCAGCCACTCGCTGAAGCCCCTGGCAGGGGTTCGCCAAGCTGTCCTGCCGGGTCCTTCCCCATCCCCGCCGCCGCCGTGACAGCTGGGGGGCTAGGGAGCCGACTGGAGGAGACCCGCGCATTGTCTGCCGCGCGATGGGGACGTGGGCGTGCCGGCTGCCTTCACCTCCTCCCGGACCGGCAATTGTATTGTGTGGGGAGGAGCCGGACGAAAAGCCCTCGGGTAAGCTCGGAACCAGCACCTGGGCCTTCGGCTTGCTGGTCTGCTGAGCGGCTGTTCCCGGAGCCCGGAGCCTCCTGGCCAACCCGAGTGACAGCGACCTTCTGCTTATTATAGAGGGCTTAAAACGGCAGAAAGTTCGCGGGCCGCTGGCCACCAACCTTCAGCCCTGGCGGCCCACGCCCTGAGCCCAGTTCGGAGGAGGTGCTGTCTACGGATCTGCATTAGAATTTAGGATCCTGGAAGCCCCTCCCTCACCCCCAGGTTTCCATGCTAGAGGAGGGATTCGAAGCCTGCCTTTCCCGGGTCTCCTGAGCTCACTGCCGGGAAGCTGCTGTCTGCGTGTCCTGGAACTTAAATTGTGTCAAGTTGTGAGCTGGTAAATATACTCGATTTCCCCCACTCTTTCTTTATTCATGGCCTGGTATTCTCTATGCTACAAAACCTAGGCTCTAAATGTCCTGTCCCAGCACCTGGTCTTGGGGCTGCACTTACAGCCCAAGTGAGGGATGTCTGCCCATTGGGGTAGAGGCGTCTCGTGGAGTGGACAGAATTCAAATTCCTAGTTGTCCTGGAGCCCAGGAAGAGTGATGGTGATCATTTCCTTAAAGCTTGGAGAGTGCTTGCCCTGGAGAGGGAGTTTTGTATTCTCTCTCTTGATTTTTTAAAAAAGAAAAATGCATTAAACTTTTTTGGGGGGATGCCTTGTTCCCCATTCATGTTTGCTCTTGCAATGAGACCTAGTCTTAAAATTTTTCAACTACGTAAATGATTTGAAATATCTGAGACTGTGGAGACTAAGTGTGACCATGGGACGGTGCCCTGGAAAGACCCTTTCAACATTGTTCTTGCTATTACTCACTTTCAGCCTCCTCATCTGTCTCAGCAAGAGACCCAGAGGGCAGCCTCTGAGGGGAGGGACTGTGGGGGGCTCTCGGGTGTGTTTTCCCCTCTGCTCATCGATTTTGAGGAGCCTTTGACTAGGCTCTTTAGGAATAAGTCTAAGCCATGCTCCTTCTGGGTTTTAGTGGAAACAGTGTTGGGACGTTTGCTAAGTTGCTGTCTTGGACGGTGCAATGAAACTGCAATCAGATCCTTTTCTGGTAAATTCCAGGAAGAGTGATTTTTTAAAACTTTTGATGTATTTAGGCTGTGTGCCAAGACCAGAGTGCCACTTGCAAGGTGCTCCCTAGGGGGCCCTCTGCAGGGCATGGGCAGGAGGAAGCACAGTGGAGGGAGGAGGTACCTAAGGCAAACAGGGTGACCTGGAATTTGTCCCACAGTGTTGAGCCACCCAGGCTTGGTGCCTCCTTTCCTCGTTTTTTTCTCCCTGTGAAGTGAGTGCCCTGACTCTTCTTCCGGGTGGCCTTGGGCTCTGTGAGGGCATGTCACCTTCATGACCTCCTTGGTCCTGGAGCCGCCCATCCGGGAAACTGGGCTTCAGTGGGTGCTGCACAGGCCAGCGCCCTCCAGGTGTCAAATCCCCACTTGTGTACACCTCTAAGTGAGCTCACTGTGAGAATGTGTAGCACTTTGTTTCCACCCATCTCACAAGGGGAAGAACAAGGAATCAAGGAGCTTCATTTTCCTGCCTATGTTTCAGTGCCTTCTGGTTCTCTGTTGTTAAAGACCCTACAGGCAGAGTAGAGGTATATTGCTGAATTGATGCAGTTGACAGTAGCATATTTTCAGACATACATGCATGTAGAAGCATTTGGTGGAGGAAGAATTTGACTCTGACCATCCATTTCCAGGCACTGTACAACTGAAATCAAATCCTTTACTATAAAGTCATCGTTTTAAAATAGTTTCTCCCAGTCTCAAACAGGGGCGCACTCATTTTGAGCAAAATTTTAGCAAAATATCATTTCAATCTAAAGATTTGAACAAAAGCAGTTTTAAAGATTTGCAGTCATTCATTCAATGTGAGGTGTTTGTTTTGTTTTGAGATGTAGTCTTTCATGGATGGTTGCTTAGGCTGGCAGAGTAATGGGGATTACAGGTACGCGACACCCTGCCTGGCTTCAGCATGAATCTGAGTGCTTATTTTGAGGTGGGAAATGGGAGCAGGGCCTTCACCTGCAACCCCCATCTTCTCTGGGGTTCAGCCCAAATCGCCCTGGCTGGTGATAATTGAGCAGGAACTGCATACCACAGGCTCTGTGTCAAAGGCTTCTGGGGATTATCTTTTTGTTTTTCTAATGCTGTAGGAGTGGTCAGGCCATCAGCCCCATTTTGGGGTGGAGAAGGTAAGAGAGCAGAAAGTTAAAAGACTGGCTGGGTTCAGGCAGCCCCAGGGCAGTGGTGGAAGGTTTCCTGGTGTGATGAATGAGTCATACCTGCTAAGGTCCTCGGCAGCCCTGGGGAAGGGTGCCGTTCTCCTAGGCAGAGGGGAGACAGGGGAGTGAGACTTCAGGATGAATGGTCTGCAAAGCATTTGAATTGCTTTGTAAACTGTGATAAAGAAAAATCCAGGAATGTGTGATTCTTTGGTTGTCTGCTGTGCTGGGGACTGAGCTATCACTGAGTCATGTCCCCAGCCTAGAATGTGCATTTTAAAAAAATGTTTTTAGTTGTAAATGGACACAATACCTTTATTTTGTTTATTTACTTTTATGTGGTGCTGGGGATTGAACCCAGGGCCTCACACATGCTAAGCAAGTGCTCTACCACTGAGCCCCAGCCCCAGCCCTAGGATGAGCATTTTTTGAAAGCTTGCTCTGGAGAAAGGAGAGAGTGAATGTGGGGAACTATCCTGTTTTGAAAGACGGAGTGACAGCCCTACAAGCCTGGAGCTTGGCTTTGCCACAGGAGACCAGTCTTGGTGGCCAGGCCTCTTATCCACTCACGGGCCTCCCCCATCCCTTCCTGTATTGTTTTCCTTCAGCTCCACCTTCAGAGGGGGACAACTTTCCAGCCTCACTTAATGCAGAGGTAGATATGGGGTGGAGTTCACAACCACCACACTCCCGTGGGTTTTGATTGAAATTTCAAAGCCACAGTTAAGTGATGGATTAGCTCTGCCATTTTGTCCAGCCCACAGTCTTCTCTGTCTCCATGGCTCAAAGGTGGCCTTGTCCACAGTGGATGGAACTGAGCAAGCCTTGTGCCCTGCCGTACTCTGAAAATGGGGCACATGATGGAACCAGTGGGCGCACACTGGGTTTCTTGTGAACATCGTGGTTGGCCTGCGTGGTGTGCTGGCTGAGAGTGCAGGGTTGACCTCCAGCAGAGTTGCAGATGGAGTGAGCACTACCGCTCCTTTTGGTACACCATGAGAGCATCTTGTGAAATTCATTTCCATGGCCTTTGCACAGACCGCCTCCTCGGGTGCTCTATTTCCAGCCAGTAGCCCTCAGAGTGGGACTTCCTCTTTTTTTTTTTTTTTTTCCTTTTTTGGTACGGGGGACTGAACTCAGGGGCACCCGACCACTGAGCCACATCCCCAGCCCTATTTTGTATTTATTTAGAGACAGGGTCTCACTGAGCTGCTTAGGGCCTCATTAAATTGCTAAGGCTGGCTTTGAACTCACGATCCTCCTATCTCAGCCTCCCAAACCGCTGGGATTACTGGCGTGCCCAGCTTGGGACTTCCTCTTGTACCAAAAGTCCAGTTGTAATCCAGACTGGGTAGCACTGCCCTATATCTGTGTGGTCACCCAGGTGCCATGGTCAGAACCCCAGACTTGAATACCTCTTGCTGTCTCCTCAGAGTGCCACCCCCCTCTGGAGAGAAGCGGGGAGGAAACCAGGACCCCGGGCACCCTGCACCTCTACTTCCAGGCTGGGTGGGTGAAGACGGGGTCTGCAGCCAGGATCTACAGCCTATTGATGAAGCATCTTCTTCCGTGACCAAAGCTCCAAGGTCAGGGACACTGTAAATGGCTCGACTCCCTGCCGGCATCCGCTTCATCGTCTCCTTCTCCAGGGATCAGTGGTGAGTCCTGCTGGGTGCATGTGACGCGGTGTGTGGGTGGGTGGGGGCCTCCGGTGGTGGGTGACTTTGTTCCATGTTAGCGCATGGGTGACTGGTTTCTTCTTTAGCGGTTGAGTTGCTGCTGGCCTTGGAAGCAGTGGCCCAGAGCCCTGAGAGGTATCCTTCGCCTTTGGTACTGGTGTCAACAGATGGCACTGGGCTCCTTGGCAGTCTTCAATGTTTCTTTAACATCTCGGTCCCTACAGAAAAYAGCCACTGACAACCAGCCAGACTGTGAAATGGCTATGGGTGGACTGAGCACGGCGACCCTGAGCCCAGAAGGGTGGGCTGGCTGGAGCCGAGCTTTCAGAGAACACAAATCCACACAGCTCCTGGCAGACCGAGTGCCACTCTGTGTTCCAAGAGCATCCCCCTTGCCAGCTCTGAGGCCGCTCCTCACAGTGGCTCCCAGGAAGCAGGTGGCAGGTCGGAGTTGGCTGTTGTCTGTCCTCCAGCCTCCCCTGCCAGCCTCCCCTGCAGATCCGTGTCCAGAGGAAGAACCATCAGTCTCCTACCTTTTTACCATGAGTGCTGGGGGCTAACAAGGACAGATGAATGAGAGAGGGGACAGAATCAGTGGAGGGGAGGTTATAGGAAAGTGTGCTCAGAGGGGCATTTAAAATCGGGGGCTTATTATCATCTTACATAAGGGAAGGGGGAGGGGAGGCACAGATGAGAAAACAAATGGTTTTATGGAAAGATAAGTGGGCCGCTGAGAGAGCCAGGGCAGGTGGGTGGGCATGCCTGCTTCTGGTGGGGGAGGCTGCTCTTCCGTGGTGAGCACTGACCTTCCCGCCGCTCCCTGGGGAGGGCTTGCTACAGTGGAGTTCTTCTGCGTTGGTTTGGGGGACTCTGCTTTTAGCAAAAAAAAAAGAGGTTTCAGGAGCTCAACTATCTTCTGCTCAAAATGATGCTCCTCACCGCGGCCTGTTCTGGACCTGTTCTCCCGCACCCTCTGCAGTGTCCCAGGCCCTGCTGGCCGGTGGAGCAGCCGCAGACTCTCTCAGGTGTGATTTGAAAATACCTGGGGGTCACTTCCCTGGCTGACTTATTTTATATGTACTGGGACTCGAGCCACCATCTTCAAATACTTAGTGTTTAGCTTCTTTGTTTTGTAACTTTGCTTCGATGTAACTTCAAACCCCCAGAACTTACGTTCTTTGAATTCTAAGTTGCATTCTTAGGACATTCTAAGAATGTTACAAAGAACTATAGGACTCATATGGATCCCAGATGTTGCCATTTGGCTTCTTCCCTGTGTGTGCGGGCAGAGGTAGATAGGGTGTCACACACACTGCGTGTTCTAGCCCTCTTAAGAGTTGCCGAGATCGGACCCTGGTTTCTAAATATTTCCATGTCTACTTCCAATGAGCAACATGTTTTCTTGGGCTGGGGTGCAGCTCAAGGCGGGCACTTGCCTCGCTTGTGCAAGGGCGCAAGGCCCTGGGTTCTGTCCCCAGGACTGAAAAAGAAAATAAAAGAAAAAGAAATTCTCTTATATAACCTCAGCATGAAGAGCAAAGTTGGGAATTGTAGCAGCTATAAAATAACATTATCTAATTCACAGTCCACATGAAACACAATATCAAATGTCCAATTATGCCTTTGCCACTTCTCCCCTCGGGCTCCCACCAGGATCACGCCCGTGTTCAGTTGTCCTGTGGGTTTCATCTCCTTTTCTCTGGAACCATCCCTTGGCCTTTTCTCTTTTTGCGACCCAGATGCTCTTGAAGGACTCAGACCATTTGTTGTATGGCCCGTTCCTCGTTTTGGACGTGTCTGGTGCTTCCTCAGGGTCACACTCAGATGAGGCGTTTGGGGCAGAAATCCTACCGAGGGGAGCAGCTTTCCTGCTGGTGGAGAAGGAGCCCTGAGATGGGGTCAGGAGCTGGAGGGGATGAGGTGATATGGATTGGCACCGGGCCCAGGGCGGACTCCTGGAGGTAGATGGGTACAGAAGTAGATGGATGTATTCTAGGGGGCATGTGGTCTCAAGGACACTCCTGGGGGTCCCTGGAGGTGCACCTCTGTCCTGGGTGAGCATGGTTGGGACTTGCTTGCTGGCTAGGAACTTGGGGTTAGCCCAGACATCGCTGTGGTTCTGTTGAAATGCTGTCATCGGGATGGCCGAGAGGGGTGCTGGGTGTGAGGAGCACGGGGTGCGTTCACTCTTGGTCATGTTTGCCTCAGTCTAAATATGATCCAAAACAAAGTAAAAAGATTGCCTTTGCCTAAAGCCACAGACGGTCCTCTCTAGAGTCTTGGAGCCCGCTGCCAAGTCGGAGTGTCAAGAGGCCCTCCCTGCCCCCTCCAGCTCCCAGCATTCCTGGCATGCAGCCAGGTGGGCCACTGCCCCCCTGTGTGGTCACACGGCCCCCTCCCCATCTCCTTTCTTTTGAGGGCACCCATCATCAGATGAGGAGCCCACCCTCATCTGTGTGACCCCACCGAAGCTAAGTACATCCTCAGAGACCCTCGCTCTGAATAAGGTGGCATTCCAAGTTGTGAGATGACCTGAGTTTTTGAAGCACACTATTTAGTTCCACAAAGAATGGATAAAAGGAAATAAATAGCATTTCAAACTCTTCATACATTATTTTAAAAACTGAAGATAAAATACTGAATGTAGTAGGGCTTCAGGAGGTCACTGGGACTTCAGTCACATTGTCCTGGCTTAGTCTCATGTGTGCTCCCCTGAGACCGGCCATATCCAGATGGCATCGGAAGAACCAGCCTGAGCCTCTGCTGCAGTCACACCTTCTTGAAGGAGAAACCAAACCTCTGGTTCTTCCCACTCCCCAAATCCTGCGGAGGACAGGGAGGAAGGACGAATCTGGAAACGGAGGAAGTGGGGCGGCTTGACCAGCCGTGAAGCCAGGGTTTCCTCCCCAGTCTCCAGGGAGTTCCACCTGCCCTGCAGTTGACCCTCCACGGACCCCCCAGGGCCGTTCATCCGGTGCTTCATTTCTACCCCACAGAACCTGGTTTCCGAGGTGGGGTTGCTTCCCCGTGTGGAGAGCTCTGTGTTTAGGGGGCAGACAGGCCCCTCCTGGGGGGCACCTCAGCCTGCATACCACCTGCCTGGCACCATCTGCAGAAGGGTTAGAGAAGCAGGGCAGCAACAGAGCTGGCCCCAGGTCTCATCCCTGACAGCCCTAGAGGCCAAGAACACAGTGCGTGCTGGGGCTGGGCACTCTCCAGCCATCACCCCATTGAGGGGTGAGGGTGTTATTTCCAGGGTGCAGGGTAGTGGATGGAGGGCCTGAGCCGGCGGCCCACCTGCTGGGTCAAGAGGCCTTGTCAGTCTGTAGCCTGTGAGTTCACGTTCAGGTTGCACAGATCTGTGGTCCCTCGCTCCCACCACGCGCTCCAAGGAGAATCTGTGCTTTCTCCTCCTGCACTGGCTTGCGAGGTGTTGGAGGAACTGAGAACTCTGTGCTTCTTGCAGAGATTTGAAAGGGGGCGGGGCAGGGACGCCTTGGGGCTCACAGGCCAGCTGTGGGCTGAAGCAGGTCCTTCCCACGTGGTAGCTGAGGCACACATGGCAGTGCGTGTGGAGCGGTTTCAGCCAGAGACTCCAGAGACTTCCGTGCTCTGCCCCAGGGGTGCGGTCAGGCAGGAGGACATAGACCAGGCTTCTGCCGTGAGTCCCTGCACTGTAGGCACGGCTCTTGTGCTTTGGGCTCCAGTGTAAGCCACACACTCATTGTTTAGAGTCTACTTTCTTCTCATCTGGTCATTGACGGGCTTGTGGGGGAGATCCTTGAGAAACCGTTGGTGTGTTTCCCTGAGGAAGGAGAGCTGTGGGGCACTCTCCAGTCAGGAGCCGGTGCTAGTCAGTTTGGTTTTCTCCTTTCCCCAAGGCCGTGTTTCCGAGGCTACAGGGGAGAGTCCCAAGGTCCCACCAGCCATTTTCCCACCTGACATAGGTCTTCATTATTATTTTTTAATCAGGAAACCCTTATCTGGCTTCTGATTTTTCTGGTAGCCAGAGGGGCAGGTACCCCTCAAATTCTAGGATCCTGGGTGTGATTCACAGAAAGCTTCCCTGGAGGAGCAAGTCACACATGGCAAACATGGTGAGTGGCAGGAATAATGATGCCAGCATCCCCGTGGGCAGGGACATGGGCAGGGATGAGGTCATTGTTGATTCCGATGGTTGCCACACGATTGAAGCCATTGGCCTCTCTGGGCCAGAGGCAGGACAGGTCTCAAGGTGGACAGTGCCTGACCCCACAGCAGCAGCTTCCTGGCCGGAGCCCCTTTGCCTCACCTCCTGTCAAATGCTGTTCCTCCCGCCATTCCCTCCCCAGCAAGCCGTTTCCTGGGTGGGTTCCGCCTGTGGACTGGACTCAACCTCCGCCTCTTACTGCACTTCCTTTCCTCCTTCTGTCCCCCACGCTGCCCAGGCCTGCCCTTGCCCCTTGCTCCTGGCCAGGGCTGCGGGCCAGTGTCTTTCTGTCACGGGCCGCCCTCAGAGCTGGCTGGTGTGGCTGCCTCTCCCTMCTGAAGGTCAGTCAAGTGTCCTGTCGGCCTTGCCCATGTGCCTCTGGGGTGCCGAGACTAAACAGCCTTCAAATGAGCATGATCTGAAGTGCCCGGGACAGCAGGCGACACCAAGGCCTTCTAGCTAACGATGTTGTAAACTAACCAACCCCGCCTTCGCGTCTGCTCTGCAAATACTCTGTTCTTCATCTGAGTCCCAAATTTCTCTTTAGTTACAGTTTTTTTTAAATTGACAAATGTGGTATTTTGATCTAATAATAAATAGGTATTTGGCCTCTGCCCCTGATCCGTGGCATACAGCTCCAGGATCCTGAAACCATGTCTTCTTGTCTGCTAGTGAGGKGACTGGTGGCTGAGGGCTCCTGATCTTCTCAGGATGGGGACAGGTTGCCAAGGGGACAACTGTGTGATTAGAGGGTTGAAACTTGGATCACAACCCCTGCGGGAGGAGGGGCTCAGGTCACTTGATCGCCAGCAGCAGTGATGTAATCGGCCATGACCAACAAAGCCTCCAGGTGGCTGCACACGGTGCTGCGGGGTGGTATGGGCATGGAAGCTCGCCCTCTCCTGCCCCTACGCAGCGTCTCTTCCAGCGGCATCCCTTGTAATAGCTTCATGACAAACGGGCAGAGGCTCGCAAAGTGCTGCAGTGATACCCGAACCTGAGGGGAGGGGGTGGTAACGCGGACTTATGACCAATTGGTCACAACCTGGGACCTGTTGACCTCTGAAGCTGGGCCGTCTTCTGCCACGGAGCCCTCGGCCTGTGGCRCCCAAGGACCCCTGCAGGCAGGCAGGGTCAGCAGGAGTTGGAGTGCAGTGCAGAAGCCCCCCTTGGTGTCCACTGAGAACCGCTCGATGCAGGGACAGCCCCACGTCTGCTGTCCAGAGTGGCGTGGGGGGTGGGGGTAAGGGTGGGAAAAGCYGGTTTCTCCTCTTACGACATTTAAATGGTTTCAGTGCAGACAAGTGGCCGTGCGGATTTGTTTTAGGTCRTGCTGTTGCGGTGATGCGTGAGCAGGGCCAACGGCTGATCCCGGGCAGGAGGCGTGCAGGGCGGGCTCCCCCAGCCGTCTCACCYGCCTCCTCCGCCTGTGTTCTGTTCCAGGTACAGGGCCTTCATTTTCGTCCTGACGTTTCTGCTGTACGCCAGTTTCCACTTATCCCGAAAGCCCATCAGCATAGTGAAGGTAAGAAACGACCCAGATCACTCCATTTCATATCCTGCCTAAACTCTCCATGCGGAACCAGCTACTCAGGAAGTTTGAGGGAGGTGAGGCGCGCGGTGGGCAGGGAGAAAAGAAATGGTCAGAAATAGGTTTTTTGCTGCATTTTTGGTTTTTTGCCCCTACATTCCCTTTTCAGAAATTTAGACCTTTGAAATGTTTCTAGGCTTTATAATTTTAGAGTTATTATGCTTGTATAAGTTAGCAGTTCCAGAATTTTCTAGATTATTTAAATATTTACTTTATCTTAYGCAAATTTTCTTTCCAAGTACATCTAGTTCTAAGTGGTTTCCCAAATTGCTTCAGCCCTGAGTCTCCCACCGAGGTGGTTCTCTGTGACTCAGGAAGTTGTTGAACAGGTATCCCAGTAGATCTGAGGAAGACCAAAGCAGACATTCCTCCATAATGACCGGTCCCTCCTCCTGCCCACAGACCATCTGCAAGCTTGGATGGCCTTTGACTCTTGCTGTAGAAGGAGCCAGGAAACTGCCATGGCAACAGCCCATGTGCAGCTCAAAGGCCCCTCGCTTACCTTCCCRCAGCTGCAGGCACCAGGTTCAGGATTGTGACCCTGCAACCTTGTGGCCAGCTTCCTCCCCTCCCACAGGGCCAGGCAGACAGCTGCCCTGCAAGTCCTCTGGGCAGTGGGAGGCAGCCCCCAGGCCCCTACTTCTGTGGCAGGTCTGCATCCCTCCCCAGTGCCTTTACCTAGATGTCAGGCGCTCAGTGACTCAAAACCTTCTCCAACTCCCCCAGACCCTTGGGAGTYGGAGTTTCTGCACCCGCCTAGTGACTGACTGGGATATTCGCAGACCTGTAAGCACATGGTTTTCAGGAGAGCTAGAGATGAGAAAAGAGGCGATGGCCTTAGTAAAATCTCACCTCAGCAGCAACAGCCCCTGGAAGTTTGAATGCTGCTACTTCTTGTCCTTTTGGTTAGAGAAATTCACGGACAGCTCAAGAAAATAGCAGATTACAAAAATGGAAGAGACCCCTGCAGCGGGAGTGAGCAAGCGGAGCTGGAAGGCACGGTCAAGGGGGCCCTTGTAGGGCTTCGAGATTGACCTGGGAAGGTCTGGGTGGATCGTGGGGGAGTGACCGCCTCCAGTACCAGATGGAGGGATGCAGCATCACCCTGAGGCCACCCACCTCTCGGGCATGTAAGGCAGGGCGGGCCAGTGGAGGGCCCCAAGGTCAGGAAGTGGCCCTTGGACTCCATCCGATGGCCACCAGCATCCCCGTCTGGCCAGGAAGGGATGTGAGCATGGTTTATGTCCACTCTGCCAGCTCCTGTCAGGCCCCACCCTGACTCTGGTGTGCAGGAGTGTCCCCTCCTAGGCTCCTAGGGCTTGCTGAGGAGGGGTCTTGTGTCAGGCTCTCGGGTCAGTATTTCACAAGGAGCAATAACTGCAGCGGAGGGCCCCCCTGCTGTGACAGGGCGCTCACGTGCTCTGTTCATGGTCCTCACAGCAATCCTGTGAGAATCCTTCCCAGGAAGCCAGGCCTCCCTGCAGGGCTGGGGCTCACTCAGGCAATACCAGTGTCTGCCCTGACTCCGGGTCCCTCTTTAATCACTCTGCCTCAGGGTCTCCAGGACATTTAATCACCTCAGTATGGTCAGTGTCTCAGCCAGGTTTTCTTTAACACCCAGAATTTCTGATTTGGCACCACGGGGCTACCTGGGTATGGGTTGGCCGTATGCTGARTCTTATGGGCTTCTTTGCCTTTTAAGATAGATAAAAATACACTCCCCACATGGTAACTCGGACTTTACGCTCCTTGTGAAGTTTCACAGGCTTTAGCTCATGTTATAAATAACAGCAGAGAAGCTGCAAGCAGTAAGGATTCTGTTGACCCAAGGAACAGTTTGAATAATTATCGAAGGCTTGCATTTCTAGAGTTGTTATGAACAGAACTTCCCTGCTTACTTGAAATTGGCCAGCAGGGCGTGTAGATGATAAAGTGATTCATGGTTTCTAACTCATTGGCCTCTCAGGCCAGGTTCAGACTTGGCTGTAATCACTGCTGATTAAGTTTGTTTATCTCTGATTAAAAACTGTGTCTATAAAAATGATGATGTGAGCAGGGCTCGGACCGTGGTGGTGTCACACACGACCCTTGTCCCTTTTCCTGCTGCTCCACCCGCATCCTGCCTTGTGACTTGAGGCAGGTGTCCACCCAGGCTGCTAGGGAGGTGAGGTCTGCACCCCCCTGCCAGCGGAGACCTTTCGGGGACCCTTTTCCCCAAGGCCTGGCAGGGAGCTTCTCAGACAGCTAAGCTGCTGGTCCCTGGACAAAGGCAGAAATGGGGACATTGCTTAGAGTGTGCCCAACCCTCTCCACCGACACAAGAGCTGTGAGAAGAAAACTTTAAAATATTCAGAGTCAGACGGACAGCAGGAGGTCTGAAAAGTCAGAAGCCGCACTACGTCTTTGGGCATAAGCTCACTCTCTAGCACCCTGAGCTCCCTGGGTCTCCCTGGGTTGACGTCTGAACAGAAGGCAGTCCAAGAGACGTTTCAGCAGGGATTTTTTTAATTGAATAAAATCTTAAAGTTTAAAGGATGTCTAGGAAGTCATCACTAAAGAAAGTGTGGAAAAGATAACATGTTTTGCTGAAATGAAAATGTAAAAAAGCTTAACATGTTTTTAAATATCAGCTGAGTTATTAAGATATTGCATGAAAACAGACAAAATGGTCTACAAAATAGAGAATATGGCGTATTTGAAGGTGATGAGAAAAGTGTAGGTGTTTATGTACCTGGTTTGGGTGTGGGGATGGAAGCCAGGCCCCCATGCTGGATTAGCACACACTCCCCCCAGCCCCACGCCTGCTCAGCGTAGCTTACTTAGTGTTGGTGTTGGCACAACTGGGTATTCATCTACAGGACAAAAAGTTTCACTCCCTATCTTGATAATAATTATAACTAATCATAATAATAAATGGGTGATTACATATTTAAATGTAATAAATACAAAACAAAAATCCAAGAACAAGACTGCTTGTCTTAGGAGTATGAATTAGGAAACCCAGAGGAACAGTGGATGAGGGCATGAACAGGTAGTTCACAGGCCCGGAATCCACACTCCAAGAGATGCGTGAACCACATTCAAGTTTGTTAGAATTCACAGATGCAGGTTCAGGTCACAAGATGGCTTTCTGAGCTCAGCAGGCGCACTGGGAGCCTTCCCCTGTCGGTGGTGGTGTGTGGAAGAACTCCAGTCGTCAGGGTGTTTGGACGGTATTCTGGGAACACCTACTGAAAGCCCCGGTACAGCTGCCTGATCCTGGGCCCTGTCAAGGGCCAGTGACACAGAGAGGTGCTGTCTGTCTATGACCAGTCTTTACAGCAGCCCTGGGACTCGGACACTGTCATGCCAGCTCCAGAGCTGCGAGAGCAGCTGCGGTCGCCCAGGGCAGGACAGGCACAGGGGTCCACAGCGGCTACCTGTCTGCAGACGTAGCCTGTGCCCCTGACCAGATGTCAAGCCATGCTCCTCAGGTGACAGCGCCAGCAAGCTTTTTCTGCTGGCTTGTGAATAAATAGATCACTTCTACTCTGTTGTATTTTCTGGGGGTAGTCCTCCCCAGAACGTTACATGATGAAGGAATAGGTGAAAATGGTGTACCAAGCGGTGGTCTGCAGAATTCCATTTTCTTGCTTCTGCCTAAGGCTACGTCAGACACCTCAGGTTAGCCCTGCAGACAGTTCCCCCTTGTCCTGGCAGTGTGCCCTTCTGTCCTTTTGTCAGGGAGCTGGACAGGAGAGCCTGCAGGCTGTGGCCAGGTGGGCTTCTCAGCTGCTGTAAGAAGAGGCTGGGAAGGATGGCAGGGACACCCAACTTCTGGAGGAGCAGAGAGCAGTATGAAATCAGGGAAGGGACGGGGAAAGGAAGGTACAGGAACCCTCAGGTCTCTCCTGATCCTGATCCCTGGGTGCAGCAGGTGGCCCAGGGGGAAGCAGCCAAGGCCAGAGCAGGCAGGCAGGTGATAGYGTGGATTAGCCGGACGGGGAGGCCCATGTGGACAAGGAAAGCTGTTTGGAGGTAGCGACATTGCCTGTGTGAAGCAGAGCTCTGGGCTGGTTTTAGGGCAGTGTTTAAGTGGCAGGCAGCCCAGTGGTGATGGCGGAGCATGTTACCCAGAGCAGCTGTGCACATGAACCCTGCCAGGGCTCAGTCACTGGTACCCAGGTAAGCAGGCTGTGGACCTGGTGTCCAGCCTGGCTGGCCATGGCGGGCAAGGGCTGCCTTTTAGAGGGGACTGCTCCCTCCTGAAGGAGGTGGACAGGACTTCTGGCTGCCACCTACTGGTGACCAGAGTGGCCCCTTGCCCTCTGCGGTGCCCCACGGTGTAGCCAGCTTTCCATGCCACGTCAGCCCCTGCCTCTCAGGCTCCAGCTTACTGAGGTCCCTCTGAGGGACACTTCGCTGACCACAAGGACCCCTCCTTCCTGCCCTTGCTCACCCCTGATGGACTGGTTCATCTGAGCTCTTATTAAAGAAGCCACAGGACAGGAGAGAGTGTGGAGGCCACCCAGGAGGGGCCACCTGTGACAGAGCAAGTTGCTTGTTCCTCAGTTTCCCCACCACCAGGTGGCCCCAGCTGTGACGGTTGTTCTAGGGAATGTGGCAGGAAGCCCCTGCCCACGTCCCCTCTCTGCCTCCTGACCATCACTTGCCTGTCCCCGGGTCTGCAGCCCGAGGGCCGTGCTAAGCCGTGGTGCTCACCATCACCATCCCAGTGACTGTTGAGCCAGTGAGCAGCGGCCTGACTGCAGTGGGGGACGTGAAGCAGGATAGCGAGTGACCTGCTGTCCCTGTCAGTCTTTGGCAAGCTCCCTACCTCGCCCTCCTTGGCTCCAGGGTTGCTTGCTGGTCTTGAGGACCCCACGGTGGACTGGTGGCCTCCTCACCCAGGCATGATTTTAAAACTGGGGTATGATTTGTCCATAGTGAACTACACAGGTGTTGGGTGTCTGGCTGACAAACCTTGGCCTGCATCTGGGTGTGCAGCACCCAGGTCAGGGATCCGGCCCCGTCCAGCTCCCTGAAGGCCCCCTGTCCCTGTCTCCTTGACCCTCCTCTGGGAACCACAAGTCTCACAGCCAGCCCTGAGCACTCATCTGCCTTTTCTTCATAGAGATGGAATCATACAGAGGGAGCTTCTTAATGTGGCCCAGCCTGGGGCATCTTCTTTCTTGTGGTTGTACAGTTGTCTGCATCCGACAAAATGGACCTGCTGCTTCCCTTGTGGGCAGTGAAGGGAATGGCAGGCCATCCTCAGCCCCGACCCCTCGGTGGCTGTGTGAGTGCTCGTTAGTCACACRTGTGTGTAGGCGTGGGACTGCTAGTGAGCCTCGCCACAGCGGCTCCCGAGGCCCTTGCAGACCCCTCCCCAGTGGGCCTCATTTCTGCCTGAGGAGGCAGTTGCCCTAGGACGAGGGACGGCCCAGGCCGAGCCTCTGAGGACACTAGCCCTGCTCTGTGCTGCCTTCTCCCTAGGGTGAGCTGCATAAGCACTGTGCTGGGGGTGAGGCTGAGCCCAGCTTCAGTGGCCAGAGCAGCAGCACCGGCCACAGGCCCCCTCGCCAGCTCCCGGACAACGAGACCGACTGCGGCTGGGCCCCGTTTGGTGAGTTGAGCATCAGCCCGCCCGTTTGTCCAGGTACCCCTGGGCCTGGCCTGTCGCAGCTCTCCGGCCTTGCTGATTTGAGTGCTGTTCTCAGGTGTGAGTGTGTCTCCATGCCAGCCCTGTCCTGGCAAAGAGCAGTCATCACAGTGTGGCCACCACGTCTGTGCTGACAGCACTTGCCACCCTGATACGGTTCTCCAGTGCTCAGGAAACCTAAAGATCTTTTATATTTTGCATTTGTCCCACTTGGAAGTGAATGGGAAGAAGAGAGAAAGCACTGGGACCTGGTGTGGGAGGCTGAGGTCAAGCCAGGGACATTCAAACACCAGGTGACCTGGCACCTGCCTCCGGGAACAGTGGGGATCGTGTCTGAACCAAAAGGTGCATATTCAGGGATAACTTGAAAATATGACACTTGATTTTTCTTTGCAAAAAAATTAAACACAATTTGGGCTACCAAGCTTTCTGTGTTCAGAACCAGCCCTCCTACTTCCTGAGCACCCCCGGCTTTAGATTTCGAGAACAGTTGTTTTGTATTTTGTAGCACTGCCCCAGAACTAAACTAAGCTATGCTGAGCATTTCCTGTTGATTTTCCAATCTGTGTAGATAAGAACAACTATCAGCAGCTGCTCGGGGCCCTGGACTACTCCTTCCTGTGCGCCTATGCTATTGGGATGTACCTGAGGTAGGTCTGCTTGAGTTTCCGGACGCATCCCCGGGCTTTGGGTCTACGTGGTATGGAAACGTTCCCAGTGCGTGGAAGTACACAGGAGTGGGAGGGACAGGGCCCAGCACACAGTGGCTTCCCTCCTGGTATCTCCCTAAGGCAAGGATGAGTCCAAAGCAAGTGTCCAGCACTGTGTCCACAAGGTGGGACCTCAGAGCCGTGTCCCAGGATTTCCATCAACTGGACAGAGGCGGCCGTCAGCTTTCCTGGACCTGGTGGTCAGAATGTACTGTGAATCCTGCCGGTCCTGGGCTGTGGTCACAGAGCAAGGGACACTGGAGGCCCCGTGGGATGCTTGGCAGAGTGCATCCGCTCAGAGGTTTCAGTGGCTGCCCTCTGTTGCACAGACCAAGTGACTCTCTGGTTGGGACAGCTGAGGCAGCTTGTGTGGACACCTCCCCCGGGTGCCCAGTGTGGCCCCAAACAGAATCAGAGCCCCAGGGGCAGCACCACATTCAGCTGCAGCTGGAGTGGGGACAGGGCTTGGAGATGAGCCCCTGCTTCACCACCTGCCACAGTGTGGCCTTGGGCAAGTGACCGCACCTTTGGGGGCCTTAGTTTCTCCTTTAAAACTGGGGGAGATCAGAGTTCTTGCATTATAATTGGTGAGGACGAAGCTGGTAGACCCCCTGGGGCTCAGAACAGTGCAGGGCCGTGAGGGCCTGGCCCTAGGTAAGGACTAGGTGCCCCGCAGGTGCAGGCTGTGGCTGGCTGACCTAAGCTATTCCATTAGTCCAGCGGGGGCTGTGGGGCACAGAGCAGGCACTAAGGTGTTGGAGCCAAGAGGCTGTTGCCCACGGCAGATCTTCAGAGCTCTGAGAACCTCAGGGAAGCCTGTAAACGTTTAGCTCCTTCCCTGTGGCCCCCCTAGAGCCTGGGATCAAGACCCAGGCCCCTCCTGGCTCAGCCCTGTGGTGGCCAGTGCCCCGGTGAGCACCTTCGCAGCCCCTGTCTGCGATGTCCCCATGCTCAGTGCTGTAGCGCGCTCTGTTAGGATTCAGAAGCCCAGCATGCATTGCGGCAGGACAGGGGCCAGCCAGAGGGCGGGGTGGTGTGGCCAGACACCCTCAGAGGTCAGATGTGTTCATGTTATGAAGACTGCAGCTATGCTGGATTCAAACCATCTGTAGTTCTAAAGACCCAAGGCCAGAGTGCTTTTCTTGGTTACTAGAAAGCAGTGTTTACACCCGACTTTCAGCCAGGGGTGATTTTGTCCCCTAGGGGACATTTAGTAATGTCTGGTGACATTTGTGGTTGTCACAGGAAGGGAAGAAGGTGCTTCTGGCATTTGTGGACAGAGACCAGGGATGCGGTTATACGTCCTATAAGACACAGGAGACTCCTCACCCCAGTGCCTCTCGCCCCACAAATCCAAGTTGCTGTCTTCTGAAGCCCTGGCACCAGGGGAAGGTGGTTTTATTGTTGCTTATATATGGCAAGGATGACTTTTCATCCAATTCCTCAAGGAGGCCATTGAAAGGAAGCTCTCTGTAGCGTGAGATCCGCGCTGCAGTCTCACATCTGAGGCAGGGCGTGCGCTGCCTCCCTGCCAGGCCAGTTAGTGTGACCGCCTGGCACTGTGGCCAGCTCAGCTGACTGTGGAGCCACTACCCAAGGTCTCGGCAGTGGGTGTTTCTTGGTTTGGTATATCCATATGCAGCATGTCCATGGGCCCAGGTCACTCCTGGAAGGTCCAGCAGCTGCAGAGTGGGCCTGAACCCCTGAGTGAGTACGTAATAATGTGGAGTGGTGTCCMCTCCATCAGACCTGCTCTTTAAAATCTTTCAAGTGGACATCAAATATGGACCCCACATTGGGGAGCAAGACGACAGGCTGCCTCTAAGCCCCAGCTGATGGCACCTGCTCTCAGGGCCCTTCTGGGCAGCCTAGCCAGCCTCTCTGGGACGGTTCCAAGCCTCTGAAGGAAGCGAGGTGAAGCACCCCCCAGGAGCTCCGGAGTGATCTGAGTCTGTGTGTGGTCGGTGCTGCTCAGCCGACACTGACCTGGATGTACTTGGCCTCCCTCTGCCTCTGAGTCAGTGTTGAGAAGGTGGTCCGCGTGGCCTGTGTAGATCTGTGTGCCTGGTCGTCTCGGGAGGAAGAGCTCTCTGACGTTGGGTTCTGGTGACAAAAGGTAATGTTGTGGTGAAGTCCAGGGGCAGGCGGGGTCACCCGGCAGTATTCCTAGAGTGATTATGTGACGTAAAGCGGGTCCCTGGCATTTAATGGTTGCACGGGGCTCACATCACCTGTGGTGCCTCTGGCCTTTCACTCACTCAGGTTAAACTGTAGCTCCCTAGTGACAGTCCCCATAAAATCCTAGAGTGTGACATGAGGCAGTGTGAGGCCACAGCCTGTTTGGCACCTGCCCTGGCGTGAACTGAGTCTTGCCACACCGTCCACCGCCATCGTGGCTCTGTGTAGAGTGCCCCTTACGTGCCCGACTCATGCCTGTTGGTCTCCTCTGGAAGCTGGCTCTTGTCCCCGAGTCCTGTCGCTGCTTTGGAGGATCAGGGAAGTCAACCCTGGACCTCAGACCTTCCTCTGTGGGGTGAGAAGATGACACAGGTGCAGGTCGCYGTGGCTGGAGGTGGTGGCTGAAGCCTGGCACATTCATGGGGGAGGGACTTGCTCTGCGTCACTGTCCCCTTCCACGGTGTCCGTCCRTAGCTTGGCAGTTGGGATTTAAATGACTCTGTTCGTTGAGTGGACATTGTTTGTATTAAAGCGGGATCGACTAGCAGGACCAGTTTTGTTTGTGTAGCTGGCAGTGTCACAGGTGAGTGACAGTGTGTGAACTTGTTACTTGACGGTTAGTGACTTTTGCTAGAAACGGGGCATCTCCCAAGGTCTGCCATGGCCTTTCCGGGCGARGGAGTGAACGTTCTACGGGGAACAGCAGTGTCCAGGCTTCCTGGGAATCGCTGAGCTTCGAATTCTGGAAGCTCAGGGAGCAGCGCACAGCACCTGGGGGACACAGCGGCGTCTGGGCAGGGTGTGTCTAGTTCCTTACTTCACCTCTCCTTCCCCCCCTCAGTGGCATAATCGGGGAGCGCCTGCCCATCAGGTACTACCTGACGTTCGGGATGCTGGCCAGCGGGGCCTTCACCTCCCTGTTTGGGTTGGGATACTTCTACAACATCCACAGTTTCGGATTCTACGTGGTCACGCAGGTAAGGGTCGGGGTTCCGGTGACAGGCCAGGGCAGTTAAAACGAAGCCCTTCGGAGTCACTCTGCCCTGACCTGGGTAAACTTGAGATGCTCTGTCTCATGACATCTGACCACTTGGGAGTTGGGGGACATGGGGTGTGGCAAGCAGAGACAGACTGGCTGACTTTGGGGGCCTTGGCAGCAGGCAGGGGTTTGAGAGGAAAGGCGGGATCCTGCAGGTGTAGGAGAGGGAGGCCTGAAGAGGACCGGAGGCCTGGCTTCGCCCTGCTCTCTGGGCCCCTTCCGGGATCTCTGGACCTCGCGAATCTCTGGCTCCAGCCTCCCACGGTCCTGTGGTGTTGCCCACTGGGAATAGCGACGCCCCTCTGGTTCTCTGATTCTTCTGGGCTTCTCCACGGGGAGTTAGAAAATCATCAAAGCAAACTGTATTTAATTCTGTTTTTCACGATTTTGCCACGATACTTCAAAAGGTTTGGCTGTGTAATTACAAAAGTGATTCATGCTCACACACGGCCGTTCCCAGCATCCGTGGGGAGGGGTCCCAACCCCCTGCAGTGACCAGAACCCACAGCGGCTCAGCTCCCTTCTGTGAAACGGCAGGGGTTTGCTCAGAAGCTGCCCACACTCTCGTGGGCGTCAGTCACCTCCAGATTACCCGCATCCCTCAGACAGGGCACGTGCTCACTCCCACGTCAACAACTGCAGGAGCTCGTCCAGGCCTGGCTGCGGGCTGGCCCTGTGGGTGGTCAAGGCCTCAGACGCAGAGCCCTTGGGCCACAGTGATACAGAAAGTTGGAAGGAAGGAAAAGCAGTTCCCAGAGTCCCCATATGTTCAGGCATGAAGGCCGAGCCTGGCCAGGCAGGGCAGCTGCAGGTCGATGGGCGGCACCAGGCTGGACTTGACTCCTGGGGCCTTAGAGGGTGTCCCAGTGTCCAGCACCAGTACATGCCCCAAGTCCCTTCATGAAACCACGGGGACAGGAGTGCTCCCCAGGCGCTGAGTGCAGTGTGGTCCCTGCAGAGGCTAGCAGCCGTCTCGCGGCACAGGGAGGGAAGATGGGCCTTTCTAAGCCTCTTAATGGTACGATTCATAAACAGTTCTATAAAAAGAAGAAGCATTTTCTCTCTTCATAAAATTTTTAGATTGCACAGAGCCTGGGAAGCTCAGCCCTGAGCTGTGAGCGGGAGCTGTTCCTGGCAGTGTCCTGCCTGGCGCTTCCTGCTCTTCCCTACTACTCTAACATTTCCACAATGTGCACGTTGGAAGTCTCACCTAAAATATATACATAGAGAGTTTAAACTGAATATATTTTAAACTACATTTATGTAGGTATCCTATGTATAGAAACTACATATATATGCTTTAAATCTTATAACTTAAACATTATAAATATGAAATTTTAACTTTGCGTTTAAGGGCTGCGGTGTAGACGGGTGGTAGAGTGCGTACTTAGCATGCACAAAGCTCTGGGCCCCCTCCCAGCACTAAAAAAATACAACTTTGGCTGCCAAGGCCCGTTCACACAGGAAACAAGGTGTTGTCTGCTTTTACGAGAGGCCCTGCAGTGTCCCAAGACCCAGGGGAAGGGTGCGGCAGCTGGGGGAGCCCGCCTGAGGGGCCGTGCATGCTCACGCCTCTTCTCTCTCCCTGCAGATCCTCAACGGACTGGTGCAGACCACCGGCTGGCCCAGCGTTGTCACCTGCCTCAGCAACTGGTTTGGGAAAGGAAGGTGAGAAAAATGCAGCCGTTCCCCACGGGGCCTAGGTTTAAAACATGCTGCTGGAAACCAGACCACTCACTTCCCAACTTTCTTTAAAGTAAGATGGTTGGAACCTTGAAGTCCAAGGTGGGGGCTACACCGTCAGTGGGTAGAGCCCCACCTCTGGCTGTGTGGGTGGTTCCAGTGTGTGTCATTTGGACTACACCCGTGGTCACTCTGATGGCCACCCCCTGGATGCAGCCTCACCCAGCCTTCCAGGAGCCGTGGGAAATGCAGAGTCCAGGGACCCATCCAGCTGTTTGGATGCCAAATTTCCATTTTAACATGGCAGTTGGAGAAGTCCTGACCCAGGGCACCCAGTGCATCAGAAACAGGGCTGGGGCCCAACTCTGGTGGTTTGACTGCAGCGCAGGGTCACTTGGAGATGTCCACGTGAACGGACAGCACAGCCAGGCTGCAGGTTCGTAAGGGAGGAAGGGAGCTGGCGAGGCACGTGCTCCAGGCACCTGGCCTGCRGCATCCCAGCTTTCCTTACCCGACGGCTCCTCCTGAGTCTGGGTTGAGCCTGTGGAGTTAAATCTTGGGCCTTCCAAGAATTTCAGGAAAGGGCCTCTTTCTTCTTTTTAATTGTAGAATAAAGAAGCTCTGAGAGAGAAATGGAGTGTRTCGTTGTGTAGCCTGTGGCAGAATGAAAGTCAGGTTCTCGGTCGGCCTCTTGGTCCTGCGCCCTGGGGAAGGCTCTTCCTACCCACTCAGGCGCCCTGCACCAGGACCAGCCCAGCTTCTGGGCACCTCACCGTGCTGGCCTTGTGTTGCAGGCGAGGGCTGATCATGGGCGTCTGGAACTCCCACACCTCGGTGGGCAACATTCTGGGCTCCTTGATTGCTGGCTACTGGGTGTCCACGTGCTGGGGCCTGTCCTTCATCGTGCCTGGGGCCATCGTGGCAGCCATGGGGATAGTGTGCTTCCTCTTCCTCATTGAGCGTAAGTATGCCTGGCCCTGGGGGCGGCTCGGAGAGGGTCTCAGCTTCACCTGCCTGGAGGGGCAGGGGCAAGGTGGGTGTGGGCTGCCGCCCAGCTCCCTGCATGCACCTTCACACTGCTGTCCCCTGGCTCATGAGACTTCCTGTTCGTGTACAGGCCTACCCGGTGCCCAGCCCCCTCCTGGTCTTGCTGGATCTCCCACCGTTTCCTGGTTTCTGGGGTGACCATTGTAGAAATCCCTCCTTCTGCCCTCCTGCCCCTGCCTCCTCCCTCGGCCTCAGGCATAGTGTCCAGGACTCTCCTCCTCCTTGGGCTGCCACGGCACTCAGTCCTGGGGGAGGCCAGCCAACATGGCTGCCCCTGCTCACCCCAGCCTTTCCTCCACTAATGGCGGTGGACCTTGCCGGCTTATTTGCTTTGTGATAAGCTGTATCTAGAACAACGCTATAAACCATGGCATGACCTAAGGCTGGATGTCTTAATTAGCCGGAGTATCTACCGGAAAACCAAGACTTTCCATTCCAGAGTCAATACTAAGCTTTTCATCTAACTGATTTTGAAAGTGATTTTCTAAGTAGAGATCCGGCAGGACGAAGATTTGAACAATCATGCTTGACAGAGATGCCAGCTGTTCTAACCTTGCAAGCTGTTCTGGTAGATGTTTGGCACTTAGCTCTTTGATTGACTAGAAGCAAATTACCAGCATAGAGAGCTCACGTGGCAGGACAGGCCCACTTGACCTCCCCAGGCACGGGGCGCAAGTTAGGTTTCTCGGCCTGGGCTGGGCACTCCAGATGCCAGCTCATCTAACAAAAAATGCATGTGTCTTCTCTTTACTTCTCACTTTTCGTTGTTGTTGGCAAACCTAACCTTGTTTCTTTGTTTGGTACCAGGGATTGAACTGAGGCTGCTTAACCTATGAGCCACATTTTTTAAATTTTTTTATTTAGAGTCAGGGTCTCACTGAGTTGCTTAAGGCCTTGCTAAGTTGCTGAGGCTGGCTTTAAACTTTGTGATCCTCCTGCCTCAGCCTCCTAAGCGCTGGGATCATAGGCATGCACCACTGTGTCTGGCTCCAAAACTAACCTTTTAATTTTTAAAATAACCAGCATCCAACCAAGTTAGGGTTTTGAGGCTCTATGTAGACAAAAATGGAAAGGAAAATTCAGATGTCGAGTTCATTGGCATGCCCCCTCCCCCACCCAGCCCCACCCATCCTGTGTCCATGCTCAGCCACTTCAGCAGGTGTCCGGCTGGCCAGGCAGTGTCCTGTGGCACAGGCAGGCCTTCTGACCTGCTGTCCAGCATGCCAACGTGTGGCAGCTGACTAACGGCATGCCACTGGCGTTTCAGGAAAGGCTGCTCGTACCCACGCACCTCTGAGCTGGCTCTGTCCTCTAGTCCTCAGTGGGTGAAAGGGTCAGTTCTGGGGCAGGAGGAGCTGCGTTGTGGAATGGAGTGTATGCTGATGCCTGCGCGGCCCAGGACCCCGGTGGCACCCCAGGCTCAGTCATCCTGGACGGGTGTTGTCCTGCTCAGCAGGGTGCCGAGACAGGAAGCTCTGGTTTGATCTTGGGTGATTAAACAGGAGTGTCCTTTTCATGAGCCTCCACTCCCGCAGCATGAGGTGGGGCAGGTCATGCAGGAGGACTGCCCCACACCCCTCCTGTGACCTGCTGAGCCACCTCACCCACTGTTGCCATGTCTTGGGGCCCTTTTTGCTCCTTTTTGCTCCTCCCTGGGCAGAATCGCTGTCTCCACTGTCCGGGCCTCGGGGCCTGGAGCACGGCGCAGGCCTTGCGGGCTCCTGGGGGGTTTGGCTAGACCCACATGGTGCGCTGGCCCCTCAGAGCCCTGGCCTCCTCTGTTCTCCTGGGCTCTGGGAGGGAAGCGCCCACTGGACTGAGAGGCTGTCCTGGGACCCAGGGGAAGGAGGCCATGCTGCAGGGCCCAAGTCCCACTCGGTTTTGCTTCCTCCTCTCTCCACGGTCAATTCCCCCAGTTCTAAGGGGGTTTTCTTGCACATAATCTTGGCTTTTAGTCATCACTAGGAAGTTCTGAAGTTCTGTGAGGTCCATTGAGCGCTCACTGTTCCTGTTCCGCGGGAACCACCCTCCCCCTGCCCCACCTGGCACCCTCAGGCACTTCCTGGGTCTGCTTCCATCTCCCACCACCCCAGGGCCTCCAGGCTCATCTCCCTGCCCCTGCCGCCCCTCTGCCACCCCTGCTCTGGCCAGGCTGCATAGGCCCCTCCTGGCCTCGCCCTGATCAGCCTCTGGCAGGACGGCTCCCTGGGTGCCTCCCCTGCTCTCCTCTGCTGCTGGGTTTGGCCGGGTCCACCTCTCTTGTTAGAATCTGGAGGTGATGTTGCTCCTCTTCTCAGAATGGAGCCTTCGTCTCTGGCACCTCTTGCAGAGGTCAGCCCGATGCCTGCCCCGGGCAGTGCTCACACCGCTCTCCTGGAAAGCAGAGCGTTCCAAGGCAGGGCTGAGTGGYCCGCCCAAGGTCCAGCAGCTGCTAAGTGGCAGAGCTGGCCTGGCCCCTGCTGGCTTCTCTATGCTGATTTTCTCTGACTTCAGCCACGGACTCCTTGGGTCCTTGGGGTATGTTCTTCTGAGCTTCACTTAAATATTTTCCACTTACACAATCTCTTAAAAGACAGAACGTGGTGGGGGTGTAGCTCAAGGCCCTGGGTTCCACCTCGGGCACCACACAAACAAGCGTCAGTTATCAATGCCGTCTTCTCCTACAGACACAATGTGCATTTGGAAAATGTGCCCTCACGCGAGCGCTTAGCTTCTTAAGGCAGTGTTGGTCCAACCTGGGTCCCTGCAGCCAGCAGGAGTGTCCACCGCTGAGGTTCAGATGGTGCTTCCGACAGTTGGCCAGCAGAGCGTGAAGAGGCGGGACGCTGGGAGGGGCTGGCCAGGTGCACCCTCACTTCCCCAGCCGTGACCGCAGCCGGGTCTTTTCCTGATGGTTGTTGGAGTGGGAGCCCAGGTGGCGCCTGTCCTCCCTCTGAAACGCTCCTGGGAGTCGGGCATGCGGTGGTGCCCTGGGATGCACAGGGTGGTGAGGGGTTGCAGGGGAGCACGTCCCTGTGGGTGCCTTCGGTGGGAGCGCGGCTGCCATTCCCGTGGAGCAGTGCCGCCCAGCCTCTGGCCCTGCACGGAGCATGGCCACAGTCCCACTCTGGTCCATCCTGCGTGTGGGCAGCATTGCTCACATTGTCCTCCTCTCTGCTCTTTCAGATCCGAAGGACATCAGATGCTCCTCCACCCTGTCCATGGTAAGGCTCACTCCTGTTCTTGTCACCTTCTGGACCTAGGTGCTATTGGCCGGTGTCCCCAGCCCCGGGCCTGGTTCTCTCTGGACTGGCCGTGGCTGTGCCCATCTGGTGCAGTCTGGATTCCTCACTGAGGGAGCCAGGGGCAGGGGCCTGGCAGAGCTTCTCCAGGAGGGGCCACCTCCTGGCTCTGCCCTGGGGCTGGGGTCTGCGTGAGTGGAGAAAAACACTCAGGTGAGCTGGTTAGCTCACCCCTCAGAGGGCTGCGGGACTGCCCAGCACACTGACCATGCTCCTGGTCAGGTTAGGTGCACGTGGCCCTTCACCTCTGCTCGTGTGAAGGCCCTTGTCCTGGTGACATCGGCCCTGCAGCAGGGCGCACACCCTGCTGCCTCCCTGCCATGTCCGCTGCCCTCTTGAGTCACCGTGTCACCTTGGGCCAGCCTCTTGGCTCCTGTCCCCTCCCCCGTTTGGCCTGGGGGCGGGCTCCTGCAGTCCCCCCACCTCCAGCCCCACTCCCATACCACTCCTGGTGCGTCTTGTGGTATGAACTCCCATCTTAAAAGAAAGGCCTCTGGCCTTCTGTCCTGCTCCAGGCCAGTCCCCTCCTCTCCTCGGGCCCCCACTGTTCCACTGAACTGGCCACCAAGGTGCCAGCAGCATCTGGTCATGTGGGGTGGGCATTACCTCTCTCACCCAACTTGAGCTGACACTGCTGTTTGGCTGGGCTGTCCTCCCTCCATGAGCCACTCTCCTTGGACTTGTCGTGGTCAACTCACCTTGCTGGTTTTCTGATGGYACACTGACTAGACGGCCTGGGCAGTGTTGTGGCCCCTCTGCAGAGCCCACTCCTTAGCCTGCTCGGCCCTCGTGTACCTTCCGCTGCAGGAGAGCCTCACACGCTGCTCCAAGCAGTCGTTGTGCGTGGACACCATCGTCCCTGAGCTCCATGGTCATTGATCTCACTGTCCACTTGAGCTTCCCATGGAACCATCTGGTTGTCCCCTCAGACCTAGCACGACCAGAGTAGATCTCTCGATTTTGCCCCATAAACTCACTAATCTTGGCATTGCCCATCTTGGCCCAGGGCCCCTGACCACCCACGGACAGACACTCGTATTCGTCCAGCCCCTCTGGCCTCCACGCCACCTGTGCCAATCCTGTCGGTTCTGCTCTTAGCATGGGTTTGGGGGGACGGGGTACGGACACGCTCTTGTCACCTCCACCTGCCTGGCCCTCCATGCTCCTCCCCAGAGTCCTCTGTGCTTCAGATCACTCCTTACGCTCCCCCTGCAAAGACCTCTCCAGGCACAAGGCAGCACATGTCCTGGCCTGGCCTGGTGGCTCTCAGTGGACATTTCACTGGGCAGGAAGTCCTTTTCACCCTCTGCTCTCTGTCCTGTCCTGCCGCAGTCCTGGCCTCGTGCAGGAGAGGGCGCCAGAGCTCCCTTCCCGCCCATTGCTTAATAGACTGGTAGGGCTTCCGCCTACAGTTCATTTGAAACAAAGGGTTCTGGTGTTTCACTACACGAACAAACAAAAAAAATAAGAAAATGAATCTGAGAGCCACTATCTTCTGGAAGATGAAACACAGTAGGGCTTTTGAAACTGGTAGTCACCAGAAGACGTTCCTGAAGCCATCTTCCTGCCGTAGCCTGGGTTTCGGGGTCTGGGGCTTGTAAAGACTCAGGCCGAGTTTTGGGGGCGCACGCGGGCTCCCCTCCACCTGGCCGGGCCTTTCCCACAGTAGTGTCTGGGCCTGGGGATGGGAAACGTGGACAGGCAGGGCAGGGGCTTGGGGAAGGGCCTGTCTTCCCCGGAGCCAGCCCCTAGGAGTCTGCCGAGCAGGCCTGGGCCCCGGGAGGTTCTTCTCCCGTGGTGTGCGTGCACCAGGGCTGCCACCTCTGCTTTATTTTGCTCTTCGAATCTTCTCTGAGCAGTTCACTGAGCTCGCCTGGAGCCCAGGTGCCCGCAGGGCATGGGACAGCCTGGTCCTGGGGCATGGCTCCTCTTCCTCTTCCCCTCCCTGTCCCTGGGGCTGCTCACTGGGTCATAGAGAAGTTGGCGTGATTCTGGGGACATTGCATCAGCTTCTGCAGATGGCCAGCACTCCCTCTTCTGAGAACATGTCCCACTGAGTGCCCCGTCCTGCCACACAGTCCTGACACGGCCTCAGCAAGGAGGGAGGCAGCCTGGCCCACCCAGAGTGCTGTTCCTCTGCATGGCGGGAGGTAGGTAGGAAGCAGGCCACCAGGAAGACCTCTGAGCTGACTGGCTCTGAGGGAGCTGTGTTCTGAGGTGTTATTTCATGATAGGGTCCTTATTTTTTCCAATATTTTAAAGTTTTTGTTATGGAAATTTAAAAACCTAAAAATGTTAAAATGATTATAGGATGGACTTTAGGATTTCCAAAACAGTCTGGAAAAAGAACAAAGTTGGAAGAATGAGCGCCCTGATTTCAGTGCTCCCTGCAGAGCTGCCGGAACTGAGCAGCAGTGTCATCACGGGGCAGACACACAGTGGGTGGGACTGAGGAGCCAGAGAGGACCTCATCCCGATGGGCAGTCGATGTGACAGGAGCACTGGGCGTCCAGCGGGTGAGGGTCATCACAACACAGGTGCTGGGACAGAGGCACCCACCATAAGTTAAAGTGGACCAGGGACCTAAATAGGAGCTAAACCCTTGGCAGAAAACAGGAGTGCGTCTTCATGACTTCAGGCCAAGCCTCCTCTGAGCAGTTCACTGAGCTCGCATGGAGCCCAGTTGCCCTCACCCTCTCTGTGGGCCACCTCCTGGTGTGCCCTCGGCTGTGACACCAAGAGTACAGGGATGTATCTGTCCCGTTTCTGTTGTGAATAACACAATACTTGGCCGGGTGAGTGTTAAGAAAGAGGTTATTAGTGCCCTTGGCTCTGGGGTGCAAGGTCCAGGGCTGCCTCTGGCAGCATCCTTCCTGCTGGTAGATCCCGCAGCACCAGGCAGGGCGAGGGTCAGCCTACCTGTGTAGGAGTCTTCGGGAAGCCATCAGGATTCAGTTGTGGGGCTCCGCCCGATGGCCTCATCTCGCCCCAGTCACCCCTCCCGGGCCCCTCCTCCAAACAGCACAGTTAGGTCCAGGTTCCACACTCAGATACCTCGCAGTGGAGCTGGACTTCAACAGGCAGCGCCTACRGGGCACACCCAAGCCACGCACAGAATTAAAACTTGCATCATTCCAAGGGAACCACCCAGAAAGTGAAAGCACAGCTCCACAGAACAGGGAGGGAAATATTTCCAAATCATGTCTGATAAGGGACTGTACCTGCATATATAAAGAGCTGTTAAAAACCAGGAATCGAACGACAAGCCAGTTAGCCAGGAACGGGGGTGCACACCTCTAGCCCCAGCAACTTGGGGGCTGCAGCCAGAGGGTAGCAAGTTCAAAGCCAGCCTCAGCAACTTAGCAAAGCCCTATCTCAAAAGATTAAAAGGTCTGGGGCTGGGGCTTAGTGGCAAAGTGCCCCTGAGTTCAATCCTAGTACCAAAAAAAAAAAAAGACAACCAAGTTAAAAAGTGGCCCAAGGATCCAAACAGACATTTCTCCTAGGAAGGTATACAAGTGGTCCGTGAACACACAAATAGCTGCTCGGCATCACCAGCCATCAGGAAAATGTGCTCAGGACCACTGAGGTGCATCCACACCCCACGGGATGGCTGGGATCAGCGACAGACAAGACTTGTCCCTGAGGTGGGAGCTCACTGCAGTGCAGGTGTGAATGGCCTCGTGTGGGGACCAGCCCTGTGGTGCCTTGAAGAGTCGGGTGTAGGCTTGCGTGTGGCAGCAGTGCCACTCCCCAGAATCTCCCCAGGGAGAGAGCACGTGTCCTCCATCAAGCTGGCTCACGAAGGTCACTGGCATGATGGGTAGTAGCCACACCATGGTCGCAGCTGCAGTGTGCCGGCTGGTGGGCAGCTGGATAGAGCACAGGGTGCAGGGCAGCTGGAGCTGAGCACCCACACACTCCACGGTGAACCCCCCAGCCCTGTGCACGTCCCGGTGCCGTGCCACTCAGCGGCGCCCAGCCCCTGTGTGAAATGCACAGAAGGGCCAACTCGAGGAACGGAGAGCAGATGGCGCAGGGCGGCAGGGCTTGGGGACAGGAGGGTCTGCTCCTGAAGGCGACAGATCTGCTGTGAGATGGGCGTGGTGGTGGCTGTGAACTCTGAGCCTCACCCTCCAGTTGAGCTTGAGCGATGCCCTCACTGCGCCGCCTCCTGGTGCTGCCGTGGGTTTAAGGCCCAGGTGCTGTCTGTTAACACACCCATCAGTGCTCAGACCCCCCGCTGTGGCACGCAGGGGGGGGGTGGGGGGGGTGGGGGGGGGTTCTGTGTGGTGCTTAAACAGGTCCAAGCCTGGCCTGTCCGCCCCTTGGCCAGCATGTCCCTGGAGCCTCTCATTGATAGGTGGCTGTGTTTATTTTTCATTTATTGTTTTCCTCGGCTGAGTGACTTTTGTTGAGGAAAGCGTGTTTGTCCTGTGGAGTTACCCACATCCGGGGCCTCATGGCCACTTCCCCGGGTGCTTCTAGCATGCTCCTCTGTCCCCATGTCCTGCAAACTGGTAGCCAGGGTCCAGCCCAGAACTGAATTCCCCAACCAGTTTTCCTTTCAACTGATCACAAGAACTGTGAATTGGAGGCTGGGGGTTTTCCTGTCTGCCTCAAGTCGGAGGATGCTAATGAAGGAGATGTGTCTCTGCCTGGGCCTCCTGCTGCTGAGGAGCTGTTGGGTCTGGTCCTTCCGGCTCATCCTGCTCTCTGTGTTATTTAGGTTTATGGCATCTGTTAGGGACCCCAATCTAGGGCCCGGGTTAGGGCTTTGACAGATTTAATGTGGTTATCTCCAAGCAAAAGGGAAATGCACAGCCTTCTACCGAAACCAGGTGGAGAGGCACTTCTGTCTTGCCTCACCAAGTCGAGAGGTAGCCAGCCGCCCAGGGTGAGCTGAGGGACCCAGGCTCCTGCCGCTGCTGTACCCCTGGGCATGGGTTTCAGGCCAAGATGGTCCACCCCGGGCAGTCCTAACGGTGCCTGGCACAAAGTGGAGGCTTAATAACTGTTGAGTGAATGAGTGGGTGGTCAGTCCAGATGGGGGCTGGACTCCAGCTGTGTCATCTGTGTCCTAGCCAGTGGGAGGAGGGCAGGCCCCTTCCCTTCCMAGACACTTCCTCCACGCTCCTCACTGCTGCGCCTAGCTGTCCCCCGGAGCTGCAGAGGGGCTGTGGGAAGGGCTTTGCCTTGAGCCCGTGTCCCTGACTGAAAGGCCTGGGCTCTGTCCAGGGGGAAGAGGACGTACATGCATGCTGTCTTTGAGAGCAGGCCAGCCTCTGCCTCTGACTGGCCTGGCGAGGGGACACACCAGGTCCTTGCCTGACCTGGGCATTTCCCTTGCAGGCACTAAGCCCAGGCTTCCTCAGAAGGGCTATCGCTACGTTTCAGATGGGGGTCAGCAGAGCCCTGCATGCGGCGTGGGTCCRGTGGTCCATCTGACAGTGACAGCAGCTCCAGCCAGCTTGTCTCTGGACCCCTGGGACGCTGCCTGGCCCCCATAGCAGGTCTCCTGGGTGGCATCCAGGGCTGGCAGCTTCCTTCCCTCGAGCTGACCCAGAGCCTGAGGTCGAGGTGCCCGGGCCTCTCTGTCTTAGTGATCGTTACGATTCGGACAGTGTGGATCACATCCCTCTGAGTGGAGAACAATCCCTCAGTAATAAGGAGGTTCATTCAGAGTATGGCTGAACAGGAACCATAAAACCTCACCAGGAGAGGTTGGGACACCACCTGGGCACTGCTCAAGGTCACCAGGGGCTCTGCACACAGCCCCTGGGTGCAGGTGGGCACAGCCTGGTGTCAGCAGGAAGCTGTCTCCTCCGCTCCTGAGCCTGGGGAACCCCGGAGCCCCCACGTGGCCCTCATCGGGTGTCCCTCCCTCACCCCTGCGTCTCCGTCTGTTCTTTAAGAAAGGAGTTTATTTCCACCTGCTGTGGCCCGAGACTCTGGAGGTGAAATYGAACTACTCTTCAGCCCATTGTTTTATTTGAACTATTTCTCGTATTTTCTCTGTGTCATGTTTTTGTGGGGACAGGAAGTATCCTTGCCACGGTAAAGGTAGCTGAATTTCTGGCTGTTGATTGAATAATTGCTCTAACTACATTTTTCCCCCCAGCACTCCAAAGGCTACGAGAGCACAGTGGACAGATTCAGACTCCACAAGCCAGCCCTGCACGGCGAGAAGAGCCGGCCTCTGGTGAGTCGCGCAGCGAAGGCTGGAGGCCATGAGGTCCTTGGAGCCACAGGGCCGCCCATTCCCCTGGGTGTGCCACCAGCTTCCAGGGTCTTTACAACTTGGACCTCGGAGTTTCACCAGTAAAGCTTGGGCTTGTCCACTTGGCCTTCTTTGGCTACTAAGCTAAACCTATTTTATGTTGTAAATCAAATGTGAAAGTGATTCACTTRTTCAACAGCTGTTTCCAGCATTCCGTGTCCCCAGCACTGTCCCCTGCTGGGGGGAGGGGAGGTGGGGACAGATGGGAAGTGAGCAGAGGTGGGGCTGCGTGCCGGAGGCCCGGGAGCGGCGAGCTCTCTGTTCCCAGGGGCTGCCCTCAACAGGTGGCACGGTGCAGGGTGCAGAGCAGGAGCCCACAGGTCCTGCGCCTCGAGGGGTCGGCAGGGAGCACGCAGGGGTGGATGTGAGCTGCACCCCAGACCCAAGAGCAGGTGAGGGAGAGAGGAAGAGCATGTGCAGGCGCCCCGCCCTCCCACCTTGCAGATGGGGCACAGAGCTGCTGAGCTGCTGCTCTTCTGTGGCACTGGGAGGCTCCTGCCAGCACCCGGGCCTTTACCACCCTCCCTTCTCCTTCAGGATTCTTCCAGAAGCCCCTCATCCCTGTGACTTAACTGACTGTACTGAGCATCCAGGGCCAGCTCAGACCTGGTTTTAATCCTAGAAAYAAGCTATTTTCTTTTTAAATCAGATTGCTTAAAGGCTAAATAGATCAACATACTTTTTTCTTTATTTCCTGGGGAAATTTATTTGTGGTGGTTGAAACATTAATAGAGGGAAGCTAATATCTAGTGCTTTGTATTCCTTGGATCTTAGGGAGTGTGGGCACTGGCTAATGCAATCAAAAATGCTTTAGTCTGTATTCACTGCTGAGTTTACAGTGTTTAAAAATCACATCTTAATGTCCACCTGGCTGCAGCTCCTGATGTTCCTACAGATTGATTGACCACCTCCTCTGAATCCGGACCACAGGCCCTTGTCCTGATGTCCTCATCTGAAACTAGCCTTGCTCTGAGTATAGCTTCCCTCTTTCCTTTTCTGTCCCTTCTATAAAAGCCTGTTCGCTAACAGGCCACCAAAGTGCCAGTTACACATTTAGAAGCCCAGCAGGTCATTTCAGGCCAAAGGAGATAGGAACAGGCCAGACGGTTGCTGGCAGCTCGCTGGGCATCCACTCTCAGCAGGCCCCTGCCCCTGCCCCTTGCCCTTGGGTTAGGGTCAGGAAGCAGTGTCCCATCAGCATGGCGGGACACCCTGGCTGTTCTCCTGCCCAGAGTGACCCGCGGGGCTCCGACCTCCCACACAGCGCTGTGGCCTCTGTCGGTGCCGGGCACATCCTTAATGGCTAAATGAAGCCTCAGGCCAAGGAAGTGAACGCGAGAAGGAGCCAGAGCTCTGGTGTCGCGTGGGCAAGCAGCAGCAAGCCCTCCTCTGGTCCTCCTGGGGTTGGTGGTCAGTGGCTTGGGATGGTCCTAACGTGCCATCMCTGAGGCCACTGTCCTCCCTAGCCTCTGTGATTGGCTGGGGCTCAGAGTAAAAGACACAGGGTGGGAGTGTTCATACTGTGTCATTCCATCTGCACCTTTGGGACAGATGTCGTCCCAAGCTCTCCCCTGGTGGCCTTCCTGCAGCAGGGTGCAGACAGCTTGGGGCCCTCTTGCGCATGCCCCTCGTGTGTGCCTGAGCGTTGATCTGACCGTGTGTCTGTCCTGTCCCCTCCCCTCCTGCACCCGCCCTGCTGGAGTGGGACCCACTGGGTTTTCACAGCAGAGGGCCTTGGCTCCTCGAAAGGGAGATCCCGAGAGGGGAGTGCTGTGGTCCCAGCAGCCCCTGYGCCCAGCAGGCTCCACAGCCCTGCATGATCGGAACCTGCCTGAGTAGGGGTCAAGAGTAGGGTCTCTTTGGCCCTGTGTCTTCTTTTCCAACTCCTCCACACTACAAGGGACTGGGTTTTGGTGACAGGGAAACCCAAAAAGGGTCGAGGGGATGTGGGCGCAGTTCTCCACCTGCACAGAGCTGGGCTCCTCTCTGCTGCGGGAGCTCAGGGCCTGGGTCTGTGGCTCTAAGCCAGCTCAGCAGGTGGCGCCCTGGAGCACCCTAGGAGTCCTGGAAGGGCAGTGGGGTGGCCGGGCATCTGGGGCTGCTCTGTGGCCCCGGGGCTGGTGTGTGGCTAGTCCAGAGCGCCCCTTTCCCGGCTAAGCGGGCCCTTTGCCCTTTCATCTTCTCTCTGTGTGGCTGCACTTCATCTGCTGGCTCACCAACGCCCTGTTTAGAAAGGCCAGTGGTGTCCTGCGGTTCTCAGTCTAGACCCGGGGACCAACCAGCCTGGGCTGCCCCCAAGACTGCTGCAGCAGGGCAGTGCCAGCCTGGCCTCGGGGCTCTCGGGAGCCCAGGAAAGTCCTGTGTGCAGCACGGCGGGTGATCGCGTCTCCAAGCATCGCTCCTGAGAGGGACTCCACTCCCAAACTCAAACGCGGCTCCTTGACTTCCCCCACCTGATGAGTCGGTGTTGGCAAGCTGCAGGGCTTCACCCCTGGGCTTCACCGCCACACGGAGGCATCAGACTGTCCGGGTCAGTGGAGGATGTCAGTCAGCCAGCTCTGGATGCGAGTCCTGGTCCGGGCTCCTAGCCTCTGGGACCACACAGGTCCCCGGCACCTGAGGCCACCCACATGGGAATGCAGCTGCTGCAGCCGCCCSACCACCCCACCCCCTGCCACCTTTTCCCTAATTTCTGTGATTCCCTGAGGAGACCAGGGGTAGGTGTGAAGTGCGCCACCATTTTCATTTCTTGTTCTTTTTGAGGATTTTTACTGTATTTAGAATCCGGCTTCCATAGGTCACAGGGAGATAAATACAGTAAAACCTCTTTGATTTTKCAGAAAGTCTAAAACACAGAGGAGCGTCTCCTGTTCAGTGCTTTACCTTCCAGTGCAGCCATGAAGAGACTCTCCAGATCAGCCGCGTTCTGACTTCAGACTCCTCCCTGATGTGGGGTCCTCTTCTACACTTTAACAAGTGCATACTCTGTCCCCTAGGAATGCTCAGAATATGATAACCACAGCAATCAGAATTGGTTTATGAATTTTAGAATAATACTGCTTCTGATAATGTATGTCCATTGTGAACTCCTTTAAAAATTCAGGATTGTATAAAGAATTTCTTACCTACATTTCCTTCAGGGACAGCTGTTGTTTGATTTTAACTTTTTTCTGTCTAGACAAAGATCCTGTAGTTAAGTACCTACTCCAGCAGGATACAAGCATTCTTTGAGATCATAATGAAAGTGTCATTATTTAATGTGTCTGAAGTATTTCCCTATGTTGTTAAACATCTTCTAACCTTCTTTAACAACTGCAAAGTGTGCCGTTTATGAGGACAAACTGTATTGACCAACATTTCTCCGCGGTTGTGCAACATTTATTTTATCCTATAAATATTTTTTCACTTTTCACATTTTTCTCAGATGGCTAGAATGTCTAGATCAAAGGATTCTGTGTTTCACAGTGTTTCATAAAAACATGATCGTAAAGCAGTGGCCGTGGTGGGACGGTCATCAGGTCCCCGAGGTGGTGCCGGACGGCATCACTGAGTGCTTAGGGCGCGGTCTCCCTGCAGCCAGACCTGCCAGCTGATGACACCTGTGCTTTTTCTCTAACGGACCCTCACCCAGGACCCAGAGATGCAGTGCCTACTGCTGGCTGACGGGAAGAGTTCCATCTGCCCGAGCCACGTCGTCGTCCTGCCAGGGGACAGCGGGAACAGCATGACCGCCATCAGCTTCACGGGGGCCTTGAGAATCCCGGTAAGTACCTGCCGGGATGCTGGCTGAGAGGGCGGGTGGCAGGTGGGGGTGGCCGCAGGAGTGCCTAGTTACCTGCTACTATTTCCATTTGTTGAAATTAGCTATTCCACTCGGAAAGTCGGGGATTTCCTAGACAAGTGGGACTCCTGGTCTTCACTTGGACAACAGATTCTGGCTGCCCCTGAGGCCCCCCCCTCTCCCTGCCCCAGCCAGTCCTGGGGCTCTGACCTTCCTCCCAAGGGCCTCAGTGTGACCCGGGGAGGGACCTCACCAATGCCTGGTCCGTGGCGCCAGGCGGCTCCATCTCCGCCTCCTCCCCCTCTGAAGTGCCTCAGCAGCACAAGCCACACCAGCCCTGGGTGCCAGCAGGAGGATGCGGAGTCGGGGTGTGGAGGCCGAGGGGAGGCAGAGAGTGCCTGAGAGAGGAGCCGTCGGGCCTCAGTGTCTGGACGTGGTCCTGGTCTACAGATGTCCTTGGGTTGGCCCTGGGGCGGCTGTCCGTGGTGGCAGTGTCCTGTGGTGGCAGTCTGCCTGCGTGGGGAGACTCCAGGACAAGGCTGTGCAAGCAGGTGGAGGGAGGGGCGCAGTGGTGACAGCTCTTGGTGTCGTCTCATTTCTCCTGTTCGGTTCACGGACTCGCTCAGCCGTGGGGACGGGGAAGGCGCATCCCTCCCAGGGCAGGAGGCCACGCAGGCCAAGGCCAAGAGCAGAAGCAGGGGACACGGCAGCACCCGCCCCAGGGCCGCGTTGCCAAAGCCCGGCCGGCCCTCACGAGGCAGCCAGAGCATGTGGCCCCACTCAGAGGGACAGGGAGGAGCCGGGGAGGGGAACGGTGTGACCCAGAACTGAAAATAAGTCAAGAGAATTAAAGGACAAGAACTGCGGCTTCAGGACAGAGGGTGCCACCAGCCCCCAGGAAACTGGGTCCGCAGCAGTGAACCTGGGGCGGCCTCTGGCCAGCGGGAAACACCGGGGCTCAGGCCTGGCCACCTGATCATGGGAAGGCCTCTGCCGCAGCCCGCGGAGATGGGACGTTACGTGAGATCAGTTTTAAGATTGTGTTAGTAACAGCCGGAAGGTTCTCGGTGCCTGACTGTGTGCCACCCCTAACACTGATGCCCGACACGGGGTCCGGGGGCCGGCCCAGCCCTGGGCCACTGCTGCCCGGCTCTGTGGCCCTGCCTCCCTTGAGCCTCCTCTTCCCACCTGCAGTGATCTGAGGACCAAGGGAGATGGTTCAGTTATAACACTGAGCAGCGCGCCAGGCACCAGGTCAGGTCGCAGGGGACACTGCATCCTCACAGAGGACATGCCCTCACACAGTGTGCCCAAGGAGCCACCCCACTGGCTAGAGGGGTGGAGGGGTGGAGTGGTGATGGGTGATGGCGTGCGCGGACATCATGGCATCTTTGGGATTCTCACGTGTTCCAAGTGGGATCTGGAGTCACTGTGTCACAGGTGCCACCACTGTGTCACGGGCCCCCAGAACCCACCCAACTCCAAGCCTCGGTGCCCTTCCCACTGCCCTGCGTCTCCCACAGCATCCACGGTTTGTGCTGTGACCAGAAGATGCCGTAGCCTGGAGCCAGGGGGGCTGTCCAGTGTGTCCTGGCTGCCGTCATGCACAGTGACTTCAGGGAAGACGCAGCCATTAAATGCTCAAAAGCAGGTGGATGGCCCAGGCTGTGCCCCGTGAGACTCCTGTGCTCCTGAGTGTGCCAGGCGGTGTGGAATGTGTACAGCAGGGTGCAGGCCATCCACCCCACTCTGCCGTGAAGACGGCCCTCCCCTTGACAGGCAGCTGGGCTCCCTCGGCCCTGGTGGCCCTGCGGGGTGGGTGGCCCTCTCCCAGGAAGCCCTGGGTTTCCCAGGCGTGGAGCGGCTCTTCCTCGGTTGCCTGTGGCAGTCCTGCTCTGAGTCTGCCTGTGGACTCACCAGCTCGCTCTCTTGCAGGGTGTGATCGAGTTCTCTCTCTGCTTGCTCTTTGCCAAGCTGGTCAGCTACACTTTCCTCTTTTGGCTCCCGCTGTACATCACCAGTGTGGGTGAGTATGCAGTCCACTCCAGGCACTGACAGCTTGGAACCCTGTGAACTGGTGCCTGGAGCATGGCCGTGCACCGTGACCCCAGGGCCAGTGTGGGGACAGGCAGCGCAGCCGGAGGGAATTTGAGATCAAGTTCTGTTGTCCTACTAATAACCTTCCTGGGGTTTAAAGGGTTGAGTGTTCTGTTCTCCTAATTCCATGGGGTGCTTCCTATTCTGGGCATTTAAATCTAGGCCACGTTGGACTTTGGAGCCAGTGGGCCATGAGGGATCCAGATAATAAGCCCTGAATAGTCTGGCCTGGAAATTGCCTCTGGGAGGTGCATTCTGATTCGAGGGCAGACTGACCATGTTGTGTCTCTGGAGTCCAGCAGTGGCTGAAGCTGTGGGTTATGACAGAACCTCCCCGGAGTACCACTCGCACCCCATGTAGACAGCAGGATGACAAGGGGGCCTCAGCAGCCCAGGAGAGGGCCTGTGGTGGACGTGGAGCCATGTGGACAGGGTGGGGTGTCTCTGCAGCACCCCACGCCCCCGTCCCAGAGGGCCTGGGGGAGAAGAAGGAGAAGCCACTAGGGGAGAGGGCGTCTTGGAGGAGCCTGGGTGGGGAGCCTGAGGATGTGGGAGGGTTGGAGGGAGCAGAGCAGGTGCAGGTGGTTCCGAGGGGAGAGGTGGGAGGGAGCAGAGCAGGTGCAGGTGGTGTCCGAGGGGAGAGGTTGGAGGGAGCAGAGCAGGTGCAGGTGGTTCCGAGGGGAGAGGTTGGAGGGAGCAGAGCAGGTGCAGGTGGTGTCCGAGGGGAGAGGTGGGAGGGAGCAGAGCAGGTGCAGGTGATGTCCAAGGGGAGAGGTTGGAGGGAGCAGAGCAGGTGCAGGTGGTGTCCGAGGGGAGAGGTGGGAGAGCCTGAGGTTCTGGAGCCAGTAGATGTGAGGGGAGCTCAGGGTCAGGGGGGATCTGTCCATCGCACTCCTAGAAGGACCAGCCTGCAGGGTGGCGGACAGAGGGTGGGTGCAGGCTGCAAGGAGCTCCCTGAGGCTCCCTCCCTGATGACCCCCTTGTTCCAGCAGGAGCCCAGCACAGGCCCAAGGGCAGGCCCTTGACGGGAGGCCATGCACTCTCTTTCTACTGATTCCCATGTGACAGCACAGGGTGACACTTCTAAGACTCAGATCTCACACTGCTGGCCTGGCCAGTTTGAGTGACTGATAAAAGCTGAGTTCCCTGCATGTGACAGCAGGACTTGCCCATGCTGCCCAGCCTCCTTGAGCACAGAGCTGTGGGGTCCAGAGGAGACCCTAAGGCCTCTGTCCTGCTCTGGGGCCCGGAAGGCCTGGTCCCTGCCATGTACTGGGCGTGCATTGCCACACTCCTGTTGGGCCCGAGGCACAGGCCAGCTTCCCAGGCTCTCCTGTCCTGAGTCGATGGCCCTTTGTGCCCCCCCTGCACTGCCAGCTGTGGGCAGGTGGTCACAAGGCTGGACCGGCCACTCTGGGCTTGGGCTGGCCACTCTGAGCTTGGGCTAGGAGTATCGTCAGCTGCTGTATGGCTTTTTTGTTCTTTTAAAATGGAGGTAAATTGCTCCTTGACGTAAGTGGCACTTGGGGGCAGATTCCCATGGGGCTCCTCCGGAGCTCACAGTCCACTCGTTTTAACAGACCACCTCGATGCCAAGAAAGCCGGCGAGCTCTCCACCTTGTTCGACGTGGGCGGGATCTTCGGTGAGTTCGTCGCCAGCTTTCTCTCTGGCAGTATTCAGCCTTGCTGTTCACACCCAAGAGTCAGTTTGCTGCTGGGAGGGATCTGTGGACCCGAGTGGGCTCAGCCATCACTCCGGGGGACCTCCATCCTCCAGGCCCTGCCTCTGTCCCTCAACAAGCTGCCCTCAGGAATGACAGCCCCAGGCACGTGACGAGAGACAGTATTTGTACCCTAGCAAGTGAAGGGGCTTCCTGGTTGGCCTAAAAACCTCAACCCGGACCCCAGGGTTCCTCCAGGGCTCCATGGAACCATACCAGGCGAGGTCTGTAGGGGCGCGCACTCCTGGAGGCCACCTGTGGCCGAGGAGCACAGAGCCAGGAGGAGACCGTTCTGGCTCCCTCCATTCCCTTCCCTCCGGAGCAGCCCAGGCCTGGGCGTTGGCCCCTAAGCCCGTTCCTGTCTGTGGCAGGTGGGATTCTGGCGGGTGTCATCTCCGACCGGCTGGAGAAGCGGGCCTCCACCTGCGGCCTGATGCTGCTGCTCGCGGCCCCCACGGTAAGGCCCCGCTTCCCTCCCGCCAGCCTCACCTGTTGCCGAGGTCTCGTACTGACTGCTGTCTTGGGGTCCCTCCCCCTCCCTCCCTTGCTGTCCCTCTCCCAAGACAAGCTTCCTCCAGCCCTCGAGGACCAGGGCCTTCCCAAACCCCAGGCTTGGTGGCCCCATCACACCCGTCTCATTCTGCTCCTTAGGTCCTTAGTTGCTCACGACCTTGAGCAGGTGACCTCTCTCTGTGCCTCAGTTTCCTCATCTGAAAACCAGGGTGACGATGGCACTGCCTCTCTGACTAAAGATCCAGTGAAGTGCTGGCCTGTCATTGCTGTCTTCTGATGTCTTAGAGGCCACTCTGTCACCACCTTGCAGTCTAGCCGTTTGTCCACCTGCCTTTCCACTGTCCCCCAAATAAGGCCTAGTTCTCAGTCAACCTGGGGCCATGGACATTCCAGGAGTATTCGGGTGCCCCCTGCCATCCCTGGGTGCAGCTGCTCAGGTGGGCAGCCCAAGTCAGCAGTTAAGAGCTTCCGTCCRGGAGCTCAGAGGAAGCTGCCCAGTGTGGCCATCAGCACCAGCTCCGAGCCCACCCTGCAGGTGACCCTGGGACCCCAGAGCCTGGTCCAGAGCCCACACACCTGGGGCGGGCTGGTGCCCCACAGGCACTGTCTTCAGGCGGGGGCGTGGCCGTGATTCCGGGGCCCCCACTCTTGGGGTGCTGGCTTTAGGACACAGGGACCTGCGTGCCCTGCGGCACTCCCAGTAAGCCCCATTTCCCGTCCCCTCCCCGTCCAGCTCTACGTCTTCTCCTCCGTCAGCAAGATGGGCCTGGAGGCCACCGTAGGTGAGTGAGCCCTTGCTGCTCTTCTTTCCTCCACATGCATCTTTGACCCCACAACTTGGGGGACAGAAATCCAGGAGCTTTGGGCTGGTTTAACTGGAGCACGTGGTGTGGCTAATAGGCCTGCGTCCCCATGGGGCGAGACCCGGGACTCCTGCCCCCAGGGTGGTAGGCCTGGCGTCGACAGGTGTGAGTGGTGGGGAGAGCTCGGGGCAGCAGTGGGACCCCAGCCAGCCTGTGAGGGTCAGCAGTGGGACCCCAGCCAGCCTGTGAGGGTCAGCAGTGGGACCGAGCCGGCCTGTGAGGGTCAGCAGTGGGACCGAGCCGGCCTGTGAGGGGCAGCAGTGGGACCGAGCCAGCCTGTGAGGGTTAGCAGTGGGACGGAGCCGGCCTGTGAGGGGCAGCAGCGGGACGGAGCCGGCCTGTGAGGGTCAGCCGGGGGACAGGGCAGGGCAGGCCCTTCCACTAGCCTTCCAGCTGGCCTCTCGGCCCCCACCCAGAGCAGCAGCATGAAGTCAGAGTCAAGTTATTCCCTGGCCCTCGGGAGACGTGCTGACAAGTCTGCAGTGGGGCTGGGGGGCGCGGGGTGTGTGCAACCCCCTTCAGAGTCCCCCAGAATGCCCGCTCTCCTGTGTGCCAGAGCCTGGCTGGGGAACGTGGGCCTGTGGCAGTTCAGGACAGACCTTGTGGCTCGTGGAGTGGGTCCTGGGTGCAGCCTCGCCTGGCACAGACCCCGCGTGGCCTGGGCTGGGCCTCCAGGGCCTCACTCCTCACACTGCCCGCAGCTGCTGCCCACGGAGAGTGGGACCCCAAGCCCCAGGTCCCCTGAAGAGGAGCCCAGATCTTTGGGGACTTAGCAGATGTACCTCTGGGCAAGGGCAGAGGGGGCCATTCAGCTGCAGGCCTGGAGGCACCCGGACCAAACAGCCCCTCCCACCCTCTGACACTCAGGAATGCGTCCCACAGGTCACTGGGCTGGGCTGGCTCTGCCCAGGGACTCCATTCTCCTCTGAGTCCCCCTCTGCTTCCCACAGCCATGCTGCTCCTCAGCGGGGCCCTGGTCAGCGGGCCCTACGCACTCATCACCACCGCCGTCTCCGCCGACCTGGTGAGTGGCCCTGCACCCCCTCCACAGAGGACAGCGCTCGGCACCAGAGCAGGGGTCGATTGCCACCTGTGTGCGGGTGTGCTGCCTGTGCACTACAGAGTCCCTGCTGCTGGCCCTCTGCCACCCTCTCCCTGGGTCCTGGGCAGGATGCCCAAGAGATCCCCCATTTGGAGCCATGAAAAGCCCCATGAGCTTTTTGCTCCCCAGAGAAGTGGAAGGGCCTGTCCCAATGAGTCAGCAGAGAGAGTAGCGCAGCGGACAGGGAGGCCTGGGCTTGGTCCTCTTCACCCTGTCAGTGTCCCCCAGGGCCAGCCTGCCTTGGCCACCTTTGTGTTGAGTGTGTCAACAAAGCTGCCCGTATGAAGCCTGTTCTTAGATGTGCATAGCCTACAGGCTCACATCTGTGGGTGTGGAAGATTCTGGAAGGATCCACACCAGATCTCGAGCACTGGTCACCCACCCAGGATAGTGGCCGAGGAGGGACCTGGACTGCTTTTCTTAGACCAGAACAGCGGGTGCCTGGCCGCGGGTGCCTTCCGTCCTCCACTGGATGCACGTCCCCTCGGCTCCCTTGTGCTTTCTTAGGTGCTATTCATGTCTGTGGCACGGGGCTCCTGACCCTGCTCCTCCTTACTGTCCCCCATGTGTGCTACATGTGGAGCTGTCAAAAGCCAGAGCTCCTGCCCCACGCCCCATGGGCCTCGCTGGGTCCCAGCATGAGTCTCCTGACTGTCCTGGTCCCCTCTTCCTGGCCCTCTGCATTGTCACGTTGACTTTAGGCACTGCAGTGACGTCTGGCATGTGTCACAGAACAGCCCTGGCTGTGGGGAGTCTGGGTGTCACAATGATGCTCACGCTAGAGTGGCGCGGGGTGGGGGTGTCCCACGTGGCCACGTGGGGCCTCGTGAAGAGGAGGGCCATGATAGCGGATTAGAAGAGCGCCCTGGGGGTTCGGGAGTCGGAGCCGTGTCCTGGAGATCCTGACCTGGTTGGCTTCCCAGGGTTGGCGTGGCCGGGAACATGGATGTGTGTGTGTGTGTGTGTGTGTGTGGTTGGCAGGCCCTGGAGTGCATTCTGCATGTGACTGGGCCGAGGCAACCGGAGCCTCACGTTCCTTTTCCCCTCTTCTAGGGCACTCACAAGAGTCTGAAAGGGAACGCGCACGCCCTGTCCACCGTGACGGCCATCATCGACGGCACCGGGTCTGTAGGTACGCAGCAAGGCCACCCAGAGCCCGTCTTACCTGACAGGTGTCCAGGGTTCCCAGGGCCAATGTCAGGACTGAGCAGCCCAGGGTGTAAAGAGGGGAGATACAAATCGTGCAGTAAAGCACTTCTTTCTTGATTCTCTTCAAATGAGGGACGGCAGGAGGGGCCAGTGAAGGGAGGCGATGCCTCCTCTGTGAGCGGAGGTGCCCTGTCCCCTCCAACACCCTCTGGGCTGGGCAGGAGAATGAGTCTTGTTCTGAACCCCTTTTGCCACAAGGGAGGAAGGTGAGGCCCGCCGGGCTACTCCCTGGCCTGGCCGTCTGCAGTCACCTCCCTGGAGCCCCCACGCCCACCTTAGCTTGGTTGCCCTTAGTCGGAGGTCTGACAGGGTCTGACTGCAGCCTTGCCAGCCCCTTGGGCCATGCTGCCTGCTGGAGCACACGGGGCCTGGGCAACGGTCACCATGGAGACAGCACGCACCAGTCCTCCACTGCGTCTCAGTCATTGTCTCTGCCCACGTGCACCACCCAAGAGACAAAGGCAAAGAAAGACCGAGGGAGACACGGAGCCTCGGCAGGCGCCCGGCGTGTCCATTAGGCGTGGGCGTCCAGGAGCACGCGTGGGTGAGGTCATGGCCAAGCTCGCTGGTTGCAATGGGCACCTTCTCACAGTCCAAGGCCAGGACTCCAGTGGCCCAAGTCCACGTGCTTCATGCCCAGTGGGCACAGGGTGCCATGTCCACACCTTTCACACAGAGCAACTGAGTTTGCCCTGCGTTTTCCACTTGATTCTTATCAAAGCCAAGCATAAGGGGACCCGCAGCCCCACCCTCCTGCCCCAGCCTCTGTCCTCCTGCAGAGGAAGGTGGACTTGATCCTGAGCTGCCGCCTGTCCCCAGGCAGCTGGGTGCTCTCTCCTCCTCCAGCCGGGAGCAGATCACCACCCTCAGCTCGTGGGCTGGGTCCCCCCCTGGCCACACCTGCACTGCCTCCACGGGTTCCTTCCCAGGTGACCCCTGGCACTGTCCTTCCACGTAGCCACGCAAGGCCCCAGGGCCGCCTGCCGCACTGCGTGGCCTCCGTGGTCCATGAGCCCCTTTCTCCTCGGCCCTAGATCCCGTTTACTCCGCCATGGTGGGAATGTCTCCTGGTAGCTTCCTGAGTTCTCAGGAGGCAAATGCTGAAAAGTGACAAGTCCCCGGGGTCAGGACTCGGCTCTCACGGGGTGCAGCTCCGTGTCTCCCAGCTCCAYGGTGGTGGGAAGTCTGCTGTCACTCCTCCCCGGTCTCCACGCCTGGCCTTCTCCTGGATCCTCGGGGCGCTCCCCTCCCCCTCCCTGCAGCCCTCCCCCCACGCTGTGGCGCCCGGGGCCCCTCGTGCTGCGGACACAGGCCCTTCATTTAGGGGCACTGAGCTCGTGGTTCTCTGATAAGTTTCCTGCCGTCCCTGGGTTTGTGTCTTGTTCTTCCTGGAGAACAGGAGTCCACTGCTGCCTCCCGGGTCCTTCTATTCTTTCTTTCTGTTTCCTTCCTGCTCCCGTGCTCTCTTCTCCTTTCCTAGATGTCTTCTCAGTCGATTCTCCAGACTTCACGTTGGACTTCCTGCTTTGCATGTCATGTTTTTAGTGCTCATTAATGTTTTCTGTTTCTTGAGAGTGTGAGAGAGTGTGTGTGTGTGTGTGTGCTACTGAACCGTGAACTTGCTGATAACAAACTGCTTTTCATCACAAAGGGCCAGTTTCACGGGTCAGCTTGGTTTTCTCCTAGCTCTCCGAGGGCTTATACCCCAGCCTTCCATTCCCTGCAGTGTCCTCCTGTTTGCTCGCTCTGTGTTGGAACGAACCTTGGCCTCCGCATCCCCACATTTAAGAGTGAGCCTGCCTCTCACCTGGAGTCCTGCCCTGGAGGGCGTCCACTGCGATGTCCAGAGGCCTGGGTCCCACTGGACTCTGGAGGAGCCAGTGCTTGGAGGGAGTGGGTGTCAGAGTGCCCCGACCCCGGCTCGTGATTGGGTGCCTCCCCGCCCTGCGTGGAGCCTGGTGTCCCCAGAGGTCAGCTGCCACTCTTCTGCAGCTGGTGTGTCTGGTCAGGGAGGGCGAGGAGAGGCTGCAGTGCCGTGTCAGTGGGCAGTGAAGGGGCAGAGTGGCCTGCGGGCAGCAGGGGGCATGGGACTGTGTCTGAAAGGCTCCCATAATGCCCCCTTCCCTCCTGCCGCTCCTCACCTGCCCTGTGTTCTTGCTGTTCCTGGCTCTGGGGCGAATCCCAGGCCGTCTCCCACTCGGGACCTTGGTCTGCCAACAGTGGTGCCTACTCTTTGTGGATTTATAATCTTAAAAGTTCAGCTAAGGGCCACCCTGTCGTTTGGGAGGTGAGAAGACCCACGGGCACGAGCAGTGCCGTGTTTACCTGGTGGATCTTCTGAGACTTGGCCACAGAGCACACAGTTGCCTCTCAGGTCGTAAAGCAGCGTGTGCTCTGTGAACACCGGAAACTGAACCAGTGTCCCGAGGCCTGAGACGAGGGCCACCTGTCCAGAGCCCAGTCTCGGTTGACAGCTGGAGAAAACCCTTCTTCTTCCCACCATGAGTGCCCCCACTCCAGCCACAAGGGACACACCAAGGCTGCTTGACCATCGCGCACAGAAACCCAGGCACTTTGGAGGATGCCCTTTCCTTTCGCGGTTTTTAAATGTTATTTGGCATAATTTTGTACTTGGAGGAAACTTATAAAAATAGGCGTTCACAGAATTGCAGTGAGTTAACTTTGCCCCGAGCTTCTCTTGTGTCCACACACCCAGATGCAAGACACACACTCTCACACACACAGGCGCATGGCTTTCCAAGGGTGAAGCGCAGACAGTTCCCTGATGCCACCTCAGTGTGGTGATCAGAACCAGGAAGTCAACGTTGACCGATTGTTGGTTCCTACAAATCTTATTCAAATTTATCAGTAATATTTTTATAGTATAAGAATATCTAACACTGCGTGTTGGATTCAGATTTCTTTACATAAATAATAATCATGGAAAGGTTGGATCACAAGAGTGGACATTTCAGGCTGGACGCAGTGGCCTAAAATGATCCCAGCACCTCGGGAGGCAGAGGCAGGAGGATGGCGAGTTCACGGCCAGCCTCAGCAAAAGTGAGGCACTCAGCCCCTCAGTGAGACCCTGTCTCTAAATAAAATACAAAAGAGGGCTGGGATGGGGCTCAGTGGTCGAGTGCCCCCCCACCCCCGAGTTTAGTCCCCAGTACCCCCCCAAAAAAGAATGGACATTAAAATATCAACATCTATCCTTACAATGGTTCCCGAGGAAGGCGGGCCAGCTCCCCTCAGGCTGAGACCGTGCGCCTCCTCACGGTGGCCGGTGAGTGGCTGCCGGGCATCCTCCTCGCGTCCGGGCACCAGGTGGCCCCAGGCACAGTCTTCCGGTGCCTCCATGTTCCCGCGTCTGCCTCTTCCAGGAGCAGCCCTGGGCCCCCTGCTGGCGGGGCTCATCTCGCCCTCGGGATGGAGCAACGTGTTCTACATGCTGATGTTCGCAGACGCCTGTGCCTTACTGGTGAGTCACCCTCTTTGACCCGGGCGGCTTCAGTGAGCTCCCTGTGCTTGTTGGCCAGACACTGGTGGGACTTTCTGTGGATTCCTACAAACCTGGGGGGCATAGGGGTGATTCTGTCATCACTAAATACACGTGGTCCAGGTTCCTGATCTGGGTAAAGAACTATCAGAATCGGAAATAGGTGAGTCTTCTGCTCTGTAGTTCTAGGCAGGACAGTGTGAAATCCCAGAGCATGGTGCCCTGTGGCTTTGGATTCTGCCCCAGCCTGTGTGTGATGGTGCAGGTTACTGAACCTCTCTGGGCTACAGCTTCCACATATTAAATGAACATGATCAGGCCTGTTGGAACTAAAGTGGACTGTGCCCTAGGACCATGTAGTGCTCTGCTAGCCAGCTGTCTGTCACTATCACAACACGCCGATTTTCAACCTAGAGAAGAGGTCTCTCTGACTCACGGCGTTGGAAGTGTCAGTCTGTGACTGACTGGCCTGTTGCCTGGGGCCTGGGTCCAGGCAGCACATCACGGGGGGAGCCCAGGGTGGAGCAGACTGCTCACGCATGGCCAGGATCAAAACAGAGAAGGAGGAGGGCCCCGAGGTCCTCTGTCCCCTTCAAGGGCACATACCCAAGGACCTAAGGACTAACAAGGCCCCACCTCCCAGCACCACCAAGTTGGGACCAAGCCCTGGACACATGGGCCTGTGGGGACACTCCTGTTCTTCCAGCTTTAACCCCCGGGACTCCGACCTGAACCCCGACATCTAAGAAAACAGGGTGTCTGCCTTCAGGGTGCTGGCCCAAGGCGTGGGGGGGCTTACGAGCCCTCAGAACCCTCTTCCCACGTCCCCACCACCCTGGCCACCCAGGACTCCCCTCCCGCGTCCCCACCACCCTGGCCACCCAGGACTCCCCTCCCGCGTCCCCACCACCC